AAAGTCATCCAATAAAATTCCAAAATTTAAATGATTGAAAAAAATAAATAGCAGATACAAAAACAGAATTTAGTATTAACTCTTGATCAATCATTCTGTTGCGTTTAAATGTTTGATTCTGTTTTTTTTAACTAAAAATAATTGAATTATTATTTTATTATATATTTCACGATTTCCCTCATTTTTAGATTTTCCCTCCACAATCATATTTTTTAAATATAAAATTTTTTTTACATGCATTTACTATGCCTTTAGTGAATAGGAAATCACTTCTGTACATTTAATTTAATGTAGGCACAAAAATGGGACATCACTGACCTATATAGATATTGACCTTATCTCTCTACCGCATGGTGTTGCCATATGGCAACATGATATTTATGTTTATTTTCCTGCCACTGTTAAGGACCAACATTCAAAAATTTTTGTCGGAAAGAGAAGACCTTAGTGTAACCAATGGTGTGCTTTGGTTAAGTCACATGACATGCGGTGTTTTTCTGTGGCACAATTTCTGACAGACTAGCATTTATTGTGAGTAGTTGCTGAATGCAAATGTAAACGTCAATTAAAACAAAGGATCAACTCATGTCGATCCAAAATTAAATCTGAAACATTACCTCCAGCAAGTTATGATGACATATTCACAACTCAAAAAAGTTTTTATCAAATTAGTTTCTTGTAAATCGATCAAATTTTTGTGTTGCCAAATGGCAGCACTGTGCAATAGTGGAATGTGCAATATTGCAATGAGTTAGCTATAGCTAGCAAGGTCAGTTGTGATTTTTTAAGTTGTAACAATAACAACATGAATGCTAATTATATCATTTTGATTAGTCATATGTAAACAGCATTTGCGTTATGGATAAAATCTCATTTTAATAGCAATACTTTTGATAAGATATAAATACAGGGAACAGTGTATTAGGGAGGACTACCATGTTCTATGATAAGTAAAAGAAGAAAAGAACAGAAATGGCTCATCCTGCAGATGAAAATGAGGATGAGATGAGTTTTAGTGACCATGAGAATGATGCAGATTGGACATCTAATAAGAGCAGTAATGGAGACTCAGAGGCATGTAGGACAGGTGTAGCATAGTATATAGTATAATATATAAATATTGTTAGCTAATAGCTAAGTTATTCTGTTGCATATGGATATATTAGACCTGTTATTTATTTGTTATAATTCTTACTGGAGGAAATGTTTATACCTACTGTATGTTGTATACATGATAATACAATATTAGGTTTGTTTTCAGTAATATTCAGCAAACAGAATAAAATAAATGAAAGTTGTTGAAATATGAGTTGTTGGAAAGTATGTAGAAGATGTCATTTATAAGTTCTGTGTTTAGGATTGTAATACTGCAACACAAATTTAATCATTTACAAAATATTAATTATAAGGAAAGTTATAAATTTATATAAATTTAAATAAATTGGATCCACTGTTGGATGTTGTTGCCATATGGCAACATATCATCAAGTACCTTAAAAAATACATTTTCGACAATTTTGTTTTACAACACTTCAAGTTTAGCCATTCTAAGAAAAGAAAAACAGTAAAATATTTTTTTTACAGATCTGTCATAAAGAGTGCAGTAGAGGGATATTCTAAAATACAGATGTGCGCTCATTCATGCGATTGATTTGAGAACTTTAGAACTTTAGAACCAGATTTAGAACTAGAAATTTAGAATTAGATTCAGTTGCTTTTAGGAGGAATGATATAGTAAACGGCAGAAAACTGTCAAACTGTCAAATTTGCTCTACAAACAAGTGTGTTCAGGACTATATAAACAAAGCAGAATAATATAATAAGAAAATATCAATTTGCAACATCATTTGCTGATTTTAATGTCTAAAAATTATTCGAAGTGTATCAGACCAGATGTCTCGACCAAATGATATTCAGGCTGCGCCTGCTCATTAACAAAAAATAAGGTCAATAAATTCAAATTATGATTTTTTTTTTATTTTTATGTAATGATACAAAAGGCAAAATAATAATAAATTGTATGTATGTATGTATGTATGCATGTATGCATGTATGCATGTATGTATGTATGTATGTATATATATATATATATATATATATATATATATATATATATATATATATATATATATATATATATATTTTTTTTTTTTTTTTTTTTTTTTTTTACAATACATTATTCATCTTGTGTTGAACCTCAGGTTAAATAAAGACAACATATTTCCCAGCTTTGATTAAATAAGTTTATTTTGATCAGTTACATATAGGGTTATATCCCTGTGGGGGCATCACAGTAAACGTCCTAGATACTTTTCTTCTTTATAATCACAACTTGCTCTAAAAAATAAAATCACCTTTTAATTTCTGCTTAACATCAGAAATAGGTTCATTTTTACAGAATTCTTGTATGACAAGAAAATGTGCAATCTGAAAAACTCAACGCTCACGGTTCAGCAATAAAAACGGTTTCATAAAACAGCATCGGGTTTTGTTGATAAAAGAAACTTGGCCTCACAAATACTGAGCCAAGCATTCATCCGATCTGGATCACCGCGAGCGTTGCCTTTCAGCAGACAAATAAACAATATTCATTTAATCATTGACAGCATGTAAAATAACTTTGAAAAGCTAGTAGCCAGGCAGTGAACGGGTAATAATCCCTCAAAGCTAGCACTTACAAAATGCCAGTGTAGAACTATTGGATAGACAGTAAGAGAAAACCCCCTGATCAGCACATCATTCACACACCCAGTTGCTTGTGCAAAATAAATCAGGTTAAAGTATCAGTTCATTGGTCTAACAAACATGTCGGTACGCAACACGTGTATGTAAATCATGCTGTGTGTGCATTTGTGTGTGTGTGCGTAAAGCAGTAACATAATTGGCTCCTGTGAAAACAGCTTTCTGAGATGAACAACTGAGAGACTCTTCAAATGGTGATAAGGAGGCATTTTCAAACACAAAAAACAGAACTGTACATAATAACTATGACATTATTTTCCCGTCTTATCAGCAAGGGTAGCAAATAAACAAAAACATAATAAATACATTGCATCAAAGCAGTTTACATTATATTAAAATTGCTGCATAATATAGTTTATCTTTATAGTGTTTATATATAAAACTCATATTTGTAAAAAGAAAGAAAAAGAGACATCTGTAAAAGAATAATAATAATACAAAAGCTTCATTAAGATCAATTTGCATGTGTAAACGCATTGGATTGGACAGAATCACATTCAAAGGCTTTTTACCTGGCACGAAGAAAGCTAAGAGGATATGACTGGAAAATAGGGACGGTAATTTCACATGACGTGTCAAGTCAGACCTTCAAAACACGGATTAGCTTTTTTTCCACTTTAAATCTATAGGCAAGGTGCTTTTTTCAAGGTGGGAAAAAGCATCGGCTTCTCTCTGAGAACAGATTTACACTTGAACGGCTTTAGACAGATTTGGTAACAACAGGTTGCTGAAAAGTGACAGTGGTGTGTGTGTGTGTGTGTGCTGAGAAAATCTTGCTAAATATGAGAATATACAAATTATTGCCACTGTCAAAGCTGTCATGTCCATTAATGACGCATCTTCTTTTAAATTGCATATATTACAAACTATATCCTAACATAAATCTGCACAGGCCAATAATAGCGCAAACTCAATATTTTCTGCAATTTTACCCACCAATTGTATCTCTTCATATTCAAGACTCCTCGGTGAAAAGCAAAGTGCTTTTCTTAGCGAACGCAATATATAGTATTCAAATATCTGTCCTCTGTTTATCAAAAAAAGTTCACAAAAAATTCACAGAATCCACAAAAAAGCAATCCAGACATAGCTTAACCTCTGAGTTCTCCCTTTTTTGAAAACGGATGGATTGCAGTGTAGCTAATTAACTTGGCCACGGTACGCTATCATCCTTTCCCTCTCTTCTTTTCCAGTAAAGGGATATGTAAAACCAAATAAGCAAGGTAAGCCAACATACAAAGACTTTCATTCTTCCAGACTGAGCTTGCGAATCTTATCCGCAGTTAAAATGAAGGTTTGCCTGGCTGAGTGGGAAACCCAGCACTGCAGAAAGAATTCCTCGCCGAAAAACACTAGATAAGTGTATTGATAACCTTGGCTTTGTTCACCTGTTAACAATTTCTTTTTTGGAGTACTTCTGCTCTCCTTTCAGGACGTACTATGCGATATATCCTGGCAGCCTGTTTCAGTATGAAAGCATTTACATGTTGATCCTTCATTATAAAAAGATAATATTTACAATCCAGTGTCCCTTTCAGCTCTAGTTTATGAAGTCCCTCCAGTTTCCATAGTAAAAACACACAGAGGAGAAAAGATGAGCGGTTTCAACAGTCTCAGGTGTCATGCGAGGTTGCATGATGTCACTGCCACTGCATTAAAAATGTGCTAAGTGCTAAGAAAGAAAAGAACGGAAAATACATTTCTTAATAGGAAAACAGAGAGGATCTTTATGAAAGAAAAGTGACCGGGGACCAGACCCGTGCTTCTGCCGGATTTCTTTAAGGCAGGGCTCACCGTGTTGCTTATTTTTGTTGGGGCGCTGATGTGATGCAAGTCCTTCAGTTCTTGAATGATTTTGGTGTGTTGGCGAGCCCCTGTTGGCTTCTGAGCATCATTGGTACTGGTCCCCGTTAGGAATGTGATGCTATGGCACTTGGTGCAGATCGACAGGCAGAGTGACAGGACGGTAGTGAGTGTCCGTGCTGCGTTCAGTAGTATGGCACCTATCTGAGCTCACATGGCTCTTTATATACATCCTTAATAGCTGCACACCAGCTGCTGATTGGCTGACGGGCTTACCGGGGCAAGCAAGGTGCGGCTCAAATACCGAACAGCCTTCGTGGAACGAAAAAGCAGAAATGACGATGATGGCGAGTGTGCGTATATGAGATAGCTGCTAGTTTGATTCCTTCTAATTTTATTTCCCTCCACTTGCCCGCGTTTTCATTCCACTTTTGTCCCATTGCAGAAGCCTCTTCTCATTTGGTAACCTGAACGAAAGGAAAAAACAAAGAAGGGTCAGCCTGTGAGGGTTTGTTGTTGGTAAATTAAAAATTGAAGCAATAACATCCTAGTCTCTAGCTTCCCTACTGGATGTTTCATTTTAATTATTATAACTCGGTATACCCACTGAGCCATCTGTCTGGGGCTGCTGGTGAGGTAAACCACACACACTTTATACACACATGCTTCGTCCCAGCTCTGTAAGCTTCCCACAGCTGCCCTGCTGACATCACAATATGTGTCTGTCACAGATTTGACAGTTATTTTGTGCAGTTTTATATGAGAGAGAGAGGGGATGACGAAAACAACAGTGCTGTAAGATGATATCTGGCTCATGCTACTAAAAATGTTAAATACTAGGTTATTATGCTTAGATAATCACATCAGTGACGTTTACAGGACATTCAGGGTCTTGTTTGGGATTTGTGTATCGTGATGCCAAAAATAATCTGGTCTAGAAGCTTCTTTACTCAACAAATCTTTTTTTATTTATTGTTAACACACTGATAGACAGTATAAATTCAGTAATGCTCTATTCAGATTAATAATAATAGCTACTGATATATAATATAATATTGAATATAATAATGACACATGATACACAATGGAATACCTTCCACATTGTTTTGTTGGTGAATGATTAAAAAAAAGCATTTGACAGCCAATCAGAATCCATAAATTTTCTGTCACAACCTAAACCAGACTTTAATTTTGATGGAAGGAGGTTCGGTTTCTGTGTGTAAATGATGTGACACTATATTTTGGCATATTAAATGATAAATTGCCGGTGAAGTGATTTCTGGGTAGCTCTGGAGATGAAGTTAACGTGTTTATGACCTCATATAATGGAGGCAGCAGGCATAAACGTACTAAACTAAATTGCACTATTAATGCACACAGACATACAGGACAGTCTGTGGTACAATATTTGCCAAATTGTGTGTCAATCTGCATTATGCATCTATTTCTATTCCCGTATTTTAGACATCATCTGGTTTAATGATTTGGTTACGCATTTTTTAGGGCAAACATAATTCATCATCGATTATAAGAGGTTTACTTAAAATGAGGACAAGCTTAAGTGTTGTTGTTTTTATGCTACTATACAATTTACCACTCATATAGCACCAGTCTATTTAACTTGTCCTCCATCTGCTTTATAATCCAAGGTCTATTTCTCCAATGCTTTCTCTTTCATCTTTCATTCGCTCTATCTACTATCTTCCCATTGGCTTGGTTGCAGGCCCTTTCTGTCTGAAATCTTTGGCCCTCATCAAGGATAATGTCACAATAGTGATTATTCCTGCACTCCCTCTGTCACATCACAGAGCCTCCTCATAATTCCTTTCCTAATAGCGCATGTGTGGGCGCCTGTCTCTTATGCAACTCTGCGGGTTTTCTCTCCACTTTGTGCTTTGACCCCTATTGATTAGAGAACTTTTCCCATTTATATAAGTGACTGAGGCAATATGTCATGGCATCACATGCTCATTTATGCTAATTTATGTGCCTCTGACAGACCAAACCTCAAGGCTACGGTTTACACTTCGTCTAACCGGAGAGAGATTTTATTGATTCGCTGCTGAAGTGCAGTCGGTTCAGGCTGTTAACCTAATAAAGGGTGGTAGTTTTGCTAATAAGAAAGTGTTGGCTGCAGACGAGTAGGACAGCTAACTTGGGACACCCTGTCTTCAGAACCAAAATACATGACCAGTCACAAGCCACCTTCCTAAGCCAGTATACTAAAGAAACTATTAGACAAAAGTAATGAAAATAAATGTTTTTATGTATCAGACTGTTAATGATATTTTATATAATATTTTAAGTATTTAACTGTAATATGAACTGAATTTTACTGTAGGATAATTATGCAGTGTGCTACTGTATTTTAAAACTGCATTGTGTAAAATATTGTATATTTTACAGTAAAAATTTACAATACTGTATATACATACCCAGCAAGGTAATTGGTGATGTAAATATAAATACAGTATTTTTGCTGGAACTGATTTACACTGTTACTGGCAAACTGCAGCTTGTAAGTTACTGTAGAATCTGAAGATACTGTAGAATCTACAGGAAATTGTTAACAAGGTAATCAGTTAATCTCAGTAAAAAAAACTCACTTTTTTAGTTATACAAAGTTTAACCTAATATTTTTAGTCAGTTTGACTGATGTAAGTTGAGATGATTAAAAATATTTTGATTCAAATAATAATAAAAATTTAGGCAGCAAGTCTTGTTTTTACAGTGTTGGGGACTAGTTATTTTAAGTGTACTGTTTTACACACATTGTCCTTCATCTAAAAAACTGACAAAAAGAGAAGCCCATTTCCCTTTGTTGTAGATGTTTTCTTTCTCTTTTTGATGCTTCTTTTGGGGCATACAAAGTCATGCTAATTATACAAACATGCTCATAACAGCGAGTGTAAAGGGCTGATAAGAGAAAGAGGGGAAGGAGCCAAGAACAGTGGCTTGAAAGAAGCCAGAATTGAGATTATTAACTGATAAAAAAATAACCTAATCACCCAAAGCATTACTAAAAATGTGTATTGAAATAAATAGGTGAAGCCTCTAGGGCCAAGTGAACCAGTAGCTTGATGTTCAAGGACTTTGAGTAAACACAATGGCTAAAAGTTAAGTGTGTGGCTCTGGGTTTGTCTTAAAGGTGGTATGTTTTTTTCCCCTGCAGTCCTTGAATAGAAAATATGCCTGAACTATTGTATTCTCTCTTTTAAAAAGGTCAACAGGATAACAGTTGTATAAGGGGAATAAGTCTTTGTGTGAGGTTTGCGGGAATTTGAGGTCTTACCTTAACTGTTGACGGCGGCCGGGCAAGCTGGTTTACTCTAGAGAAATAAAAGGAGAAAAAATAATGAGGGAGAAAATAGTTTAGATATGAGTGCAGTGCGTTTCATAATTGTACACGGTACTTATGTGCAAGAAGAAGGCATTTTAAAACTGGGGTTTATTGGAAATTACTATTCTTTTTCAACTAAATATAATAGCTTAGTATATGACTGCTTAATGTCTGTTCACATTTTATTTTGATGCTCTTCAACCCATATAGAAATCTAATGTAGGGAAATATATGAAAAATACATTTATGGTGTACAAGTTCATATTTGAATTTTGTGTATTTAAAATATGTCTTATATGCAAAAAATTTTTTCTAAATATTGCAAAAACGGATGTTTACATATTGTTTTTGGAATTACATTGGAATATGTACTTGTAGACATAATTATGCATATATGTGTCCAAAAATGAAAGTACATATAATACTATAGCTAATATATTTTAATATATATGCACATATTTATAATTCCAATGATTGAAATAAAAAATATACATTGTAAAAAAATGCTGGGTTCCACACAGTTCCTTCATGTTGTTCCAACACAAATTAAGTTAACCTAATCCTTTTTTTTTTTTTTTTTTTTTACAAAATTTTTTATTGAACATAAAACAATTCAGTTGTTGCAAAAACACTTAAGAATTGCATTTTCAACTCATTTTAAAATAGTAGTTTAAAACGTTCAGCAAAAGTCATTTTTTGAGTGTATGTGAACCAGTTATTTTTCCAATATTTTGAAATATACGTTGCATGTATAACATTAGTATATAGTCTGTGTAATCAATCTTTGATCAGCTCCCAGCTGTGTGTGTGTGTAATCATCGGTGAACTAGAACAGGTGTGTGTGAGGTGCATGATGGGATATGTAGTTCATAAACAACTTCATAACAATTTATATTCTAATAACAGCTCGTTGACATGTAGTTGCAAAGCTACTCATAATCATCAACAGAATGTCTGAATGGGAACATCAATATTTGATTTTTGGGAGGGGGGAGTGGGTAGAAAGAAAAACTATTAACTTAATATAAAATAAATATTCTAATCTAAATGAATTCATATTTTGTAAACACAGAGTAAAATGAGGTACAACAGTGGTTTGATTCAGTATTACTGAAGTTGGTGAGCATCCAGATTCTTGATGCGACAAACACTAACAGTTAGTGTCTAGCAGTAGTTTTTATTGTCAGCATTTTCACTTCTTCTTTACGTTTTTGGCCTTGTCTGGCTTTCCTGTAATTTCATTCGCAATTGGAAATCTGAATGGCACTGTGCTTGTGTTCCTCGCTTTTTGCTAGTGCTTTAACACACAGTTCAGAGATGCTTATATCTACAATCCGTCCCTAAGGAGTTCATGCCAACTGATGCCAGGCAGCAAAGAATATGAGACAAATGCGTTTGCATGTGTGTGTATTTTTGCGTGACTGCCTGGGTGAACAATGTTTTCCCTTGCGCTATAAATGGCTCCCTCTAGGCTCAAAACAGCTAACAACCTAGAAATAAAGTACTCTTCAAGCTCAATATATATTCCTTCGCTCCAGTGAACGCCTTTCATTTTGCATGTTGTGTGTATAAATAGAGGAAGACAAAAGGGGAAGCTACATTCAAGCATCAAGATATTTGTGAATAAAGAGCCCGAAACAGCACAGTTAGAATAAATCTGCTATTTTTAGACTGGCTTGAACCTTGTTGTAATGCTTATGAAAAAAAATGTGAGAAGGAGGGTTATGTAAGACTGTTGGTTATGAATGTTTGATGTATAAATGCACAGGCTCATCACAACTCGATGTAAGATTCTAGTTTATGGTGCATCCACAAACATCATTTTAGCAATTGGCAAGCATAATATAGCAGATCATTACATGGCAGCTGTAATTCAGTGGCTATATAAGGCCAGCAGTATGGGAACACTCATAATCTGCAACCAATAGTGGGAGTCAAGTGCTTTAAATGTCTCTAAGGAAACACCTTTACTTTTTCATTTACTTTAAATTTATAGTTTTTTTTTGTTAATTACATTTATTTAAAATTTTATTTAAACATTTTTTTAATTTAGTTTAATGCTGAGTTTTGACTGCATGATTTTCAAAGTAGTCGTCAAATGGATGTTTTCACACTGCATGCCTATCTGGGGTAGCGTTCCGTCGGTTCTGTGTTTACACTGTAGGATGGATCGACGACAGGGGGTTTCACACTGAATTAATTTACAACAGGAAGAATTGCAGACAACTTTGTCCAAGCTACGTCCCACAACCAAACACACACGAGAAGTGACATGGAAACAATGCACAGTCACATAATATATCTTTCATTATTAACTACATTAAAGAAGGCTTTAGTGGGGCAGAAAATGTACCTCTTGCTCACCTAGCTTTTGAATAGAATTAGCAATTTCTCTCCTTCCAAATTTCCGCTAGTTTTTCTTCAATTTCTTGGGTCCAAATAAACTGAAAATGAGCACTTCTAACTTCTCCCCCAACCTCCCACTGGCCTGCCAATACCCATACTACTGGATGCTGCTCTCATTGGCTGTAGGTAATCGCCGATGTTATTTTCAATCTGAACACATTTCACACGGCATGATTTGAATTTAGCACATCAAATATCTCACGGGTGTCGGCGACTCATCAGTGCTTCTCTCAGATTGCGTCCTTGATAGTTAATATTGTGTGATTGTCACATGAATGAGCACTGATTTACCTGTGATTTCAGGCATTTGTCGGCGAGTTCTCAAAAACTGTTGGTGAGTCAAAATCGAGGCTAAAATCATGCAGATTGAATTTGGCATAACTTAATTAGTGGAGTAAAAAAATTTAACTAACTGTTGTATTTGGGTGAAAATGATTTTTGTCATCATACATAATGACAAAATAAATTAATAATGTTTTTTGTCATGTTTGTAAATTCCAAATAACTACATCAGCTTTTGTTTGAAATAAATGTTTCTTTTAAAACTTTTTAAAGTGTTAACCTGAATTTTAATCATAATATAATGATTTTTCTTTTAATAGTAAAGGTGACATTTTCATTATTTTCCAATCATTCTAATTTTTAAAATGAAATCTGTCATTTATTCTTAATTTAAAAGTGAATTTGTATGGTATATTCTACATTTTAATATTTTAAAGTAGTTGTAAATTTAAGTTTTGGTAATACTTTGAAAAATGGTCCATTAGTTAATGTAAGTTACTAACATGATACATTTATTACTGCATTTATTCATGTTTGTTAACGTCAATGTATTGTTATTGTTATTTACTAGTTAATGTTATTTAAGTGAAATAACATAAGTTCATGTTAGTTCAACTAACTCTCAGTGCATTAACTCAGGGGTTCTTTGTTTGATTTTGGAGAAGGCCACTAGGAGACCATCCTCCATGTTCAGCCGTACCCTGTATTTAATTTTACTGTATGCGAGTGCCGTAAAGGTTTACCCTGTTGCCATGAAATCAATTTGCTGCATCTGACCCTATTGCTGTGTACTTATTCTAACAAAATGAGACCCCAGGGGTCACAGTCTAATGGGAAAAAATGTGTTGTTCTATAAATATTTTGTACTTCTGTAGCATATGGACAAAGTGTGCTCATTCTAATAGTTTCATAAAATGAATTAGATTTTTAGAAAAAACCAAATGACCCCCCCTCATTATGCCTCGACCCGCACTTTGGGAACCACTGCATTAACTGATGTTAACAAGTACAACTTTGAATTTTAATAGTGCAATAGTAAATGCTAAGCTATGATTAATAAATGATTTACTAAGTTATTCATACTTATTGTTAGTAAATATATTAACTAACGGAGCACTATTTTCAAATGTTACCAAAGCTTGTCGTTGTTTTTCCTCTTTTTTAGATGTTAAAATACCTTTCCTTATTTTAGTTCGCAGAAACAACTAAGGAAGTAATTCATAAGCAGCACGGTGGTTCTTTATAAACATCACTCTATTTGTTTAAGTATCCAACCATAGCAACTTTGTCTCAACCAATGATATGAGTTTTGGGTGTCGATACTGTTTGCTTAACCAATAATGGAGGCGGAAACTGTTGAAAATAGAGCTCTTAAAATAGCAGGTTATATTATTCTGTTTGCCACTACACTTTGAAACATAGCCACTGTATATTTTTTTGGTTGAGATGTAGCCATCGTTAATATTGATTCATTCAAGACCTGCCATTTTAAGTGCACTATTTGTAGTGATGATATATACCGAGAAAAGGAACATTAAATAGTCCTGCTGAGTAGCTCCTTGTGAGAAATGACTTCAAGGATTATTCTGCCTCTTGTAATAGATGGCGAGACAAAGGGAGAAGCTGTCTCTAAGACCTATCGTGGGAAGATCTTCCCCAGTAATCCAGCAAACCACCCTGCCTAAAAATGTCCCCAAGCAGAGAGGAAGGAAGTCATTTTTGAGTGGCAACACACACAGGAAATCCACTTGATAAAAGACTGCCACAAATAAAGAAAGTGAGTCGCAATGATCGGGAAGTGTGTTTGTCTTTACCTTTTAAGGGTATGGGATTTTTCCCATAACCAAACAAGCATATGTTTTTGATATAGGTCTGTTTAAAATGTCTGTGTGTAAATATACACGTGTAAAGGAGAAGGAATCTGATAAGGGCTTATGTATGGCATGTCAAAATGAAATGACATCTGGATGGAAAAACAGAAGATGGCGTTTGGGTTTATTTGGTGTGTTACTGGAAAAAGTATTTTTTTAAACGTTGTATATTCATAAGCAGTGTTGGGTTTAACAGTTACTAAGTAACAAGATGCTGTGATTACAAAGCTTCTTCAATGATGATCTAAAGTAAGGAATTATTTTTCGTTTTAAGGTAATCTTATAATGTAGTGGTTCTCAACCACCGGGCCGCAGACCGGTACCAGTCCGTGGATCAACCACACAAGAAATTCATTAATTATTTTTGATTTATATCTTATTTAAGTCTGAAGGGTCTTTTATTTAGAAAAATGATTGTAATGTCACTTACATCTCAGTCACTTAAGCACCAAAATTTAACCCACAAGCTGGAAAATTTGTAAGAAACAGACTTCTTTGGAAAGTTTCTTTGCCAAGTGAAAAAGGCCCAGTGAAGGACCCGCAAACTGCCAAGAAATAGATCCGAAACCCATTTGTCAACAAATCAGGTGAAACTGCTGGTGATAGCAAATGACCCTTTACGGGCTGTTCGCATATCACTTTTCTAGAGTTTGTGCAAGTTCGTTATTTCCAATGGAGGTGCGTGGCACCATACTTTACACATTTCGGTAGGCTAATTATCTCACACAAACACAGAACACCCAAACACTGCAGTGCTGTGTAATTTTCTCCATAAATAAAACTTGTATCAGAGTAACAATGTTTTGTCATCCTCAAAAAACAGTTGATGGTCACCTAGCAACCAACAAATCAGCCTTCCCTGGTCCACGGTAAAATTGTCAATCTTTAACAATTTGACAATCTGCGGTGATAAAAGGTTGGGGACCACTGTTATAATGTACTTGCTTTAAACATTGTACATTCATTCATTCATTCATTTTCCGTCGGTTTAGTCTCTCATTTATCAGAGGTCACCACAGCAGAATGAACAGGCATCTATTCCGCCATATGTTTTATGCAGCAGATGCCCTTCCAGCTGCAAACTAGTACTGGGAAACACCCATACACTCTCTTATTCACACTACAGCCAATTTAGTTTCATCAATTTACCTATAGCATATGTTTTTGGGCTGTGGAGGAAACTAGAGCACCCGGTCACATGAGGAGAACACGCAAACTTCACACAGAAATGCCAACTGGCCCAGCCAGGACTCAGACCAATAACCTTCTTGCTGTAAGGCGACAGTGCTAACCACTGAGCCACTGTGTCACCCCCACACTGTACATCAATTCCACAATGCAGATTTAGAGAAACCAAACAAATCTTTTTTTAGAGACACAGATTGTTTTATTTTGTTATAAAATATCTATTTTGAACAATAATTATATTTTATTCAACTAAAAATAAAGTTAAAGGAATTTAAAAAATATATGGCTTATGTAAAATATGGTGTCATTACTTTGCAATGTTTCATGTTTTATACTTCTTTTCTTAAGTATTTCATTTTTCAATAAAGCTTAAGGCCCTGTTTTAACTCAAATTTAAAGGATTAAAAGAGTTTCTACTGTCTGTGCGTTGAGATTTACACATAATGTGTAATCAAATTACTTTTCTGACAAAGTAATTCGAAAATGGATTTAAACACAATTTTAATAATGTAGTTAGCAATTAATAAAGTGACACAGCACTGTTCATAATGGTTCATGATTTCAGTTCTTGATCTACTAAAGCTCATAAATTCATCATAAAATGTCACTTCTCCAGTGTTTGTTTGAGAGTATATCTACATTTCTGTTCAGCTCTCCTGCTAGTTGACCCTGTTGGATTAACTATCCACTTGAGGGAATTCATAAAAAATGCCCAAGGCTATCAAAATCACCTAGATTATCATTGTCAGTAAAGTAAATAGCAAATGAAAACCCTGTTTTGTTTAGGAATGTGAATTGGAAAAACCCTTCAAACAGAAGAAGCACCTCAATTTCAGTTGTTTTCACAATGACTTTGAAGATTGACTTGAAACTGGTATACACTGAAAAAATGATTCATTGGATTTATGAAAGTTTGGTAAGTGGTTGCAATTTGTTTGGGCTGAATTTAAACATACAAGTTAAATTGAGTAATATTCAGCCTAATTTGTTTGTTTAAATTTAGCCCAAATAAATAGTTTGCTACCACTTACCTTACAAAAATGTAGTAAACTCAACGAATAACTATTTTCAATGTATGAAGATTCTGAGTAAATGCAGAGGCACTTACTGTTTGGCGGCTTTGTCACGATCATCAAGGAAGAACAGGGCGGTGGCCAGGAAGAACATCCCCCCCAGAACGATGACAAAGGGGCAGAGCATGAGGGCATATCCCAAACTCAGGAACTGCCATATCTCTGACGTAGCGTAGCTCTCCTGCAGCGAGTCTGATATCTGCAGGAACGCACAGATACACAAACAAAGGAGAACTCATTAGCAAACAAAAGAAAAGTCTGCCAAGACTCATCAGCAATGTTAATATAATAATTAACTTCCTAATATTGTCCTCCAGGGCTGAGCTGCGTCAATCAGTTACTGGTTCATTCTGGTGTGTTAATATTGTCTTAAGTTACTGGTGCCTGTTAAATAGTAAGTCAATAAATCTATGGGAAGACAATAAACATTAATTAAACTATTGATTCACTTAAGAAGTCTTTCAGTTTGCATATGTTTCAATTTAACATTATCTGATTCAATTATATGCTGTTTTTTCCCTCAGGATTCGCTCGGTCAATAGTCAAGGACTGGTTTTTGTTGTTAAAGAGCTCATGACATGTTTCCGATACAATATTAGTAATGAAGACTTCCATATTAGGGAGACTTTGCTTGAGCAAAAATAGCACAAAAATATAGAGCAGGTTGAATCAGCAGTACATTTATTCATTTTCCTGGAAGATTATTTTTGAAATACATCTGCTAAAAATGTCAGTGTTTAGGAAATACCAATTTTATGAGATCTATTTGATAAAGGACCACCACGATAAAGAAAGCCAGTCGTATAGTTTAGTTATTGTGTTTGTCTTTACATTTTAAGGGAGTGACATTTTTCCAGTGGGATTTGTCTCACACACACACACACACACACACACACACACACACACACACACACACACACACACACACACACACACACACACACACACACACACCTATATAAATAGGAAAGTGTGTCCTATGAAGTCTTTATGTATACAATATCAAAATGTAAGGACATGTCTGGGATGCTTTAATAGCAAAGGTAACAAAACTTAATATATAACTTTAAGGGCAAAGTTTGCAATGCCTTAGCAGACCTCTAAACAGAAAACAACAAATGCTTCAAGTGCTAAGATGCTAAACTCTTCTGTTATAGCTATTTTATGTATTATATTATTACAAAATAATGCATATTTTGAAGTAAAGACACTGACAGCAGAATTCAAATAATGTTTAACAGCACTAATAATGTACTTTGAGTCTATCTGACTCACTTAGTATGGCTAATCCGTTAGCATCAGCACTAGCATGCATGTCCCATGGGTCGGTTTGGAATGCTGACACTAAAAAGTGCTTGAGTCGGTGCTGACAGTGTGGTCTGTGGGTGTTTAAGTGTGTCTACCTACAAAATTGTGCCCAGAAGTGAGATAAATTTGAAGGTTATAGTATTTATAGCTAGCTATTTATACAAAGAAGTAAGTGGAATATCACCATTTTGATAGCTAAACATAATGCGTTGTGTGTCATCCTGGCATTCATTACATTAGGGCGACCTAATTTTTTAACTCGTATAATTAATTATACAAAATGTTTTCTGACTTGATTTTCTACCCAAAAATCCTTTAAAAATGTTAAAACGCTGAAAAGCTACTGTTGGTACAATATAAAAATCATGATGTCTATGGAAAGTCCTCACAAATCATGGAAACCAAATGTGTAGGTGTATTCTCATACAGACCACACACCTGTATTAAAGGGTGTATATCTCACTCTTTATGATCTTAAACAGTAATGTTGAACTATTTCCACAGATAAAAATAGGGCTGAGGCTGAACATTTCTAGTGCGTGCCTAATGGGATTTTTCACAAAAAAACGATGGTAGATTGCGTCTGATAGCCTATTTTTATAGATAATTACACCACCCACTACGCCTAAGGGTGTGGATCTGCTCAGGTACTATAAATGTTTTCACATCAGTTAAGAGTGTAATGGAGCATTACCAGGCATTTAGGATATGTTATTCATTCACAGGTCTAGTGCACACATTGTTTTACTTTTTTTTAGAAGAAAGTGTTGTCTGCCTGCCACATGTTCATAAACTCAGTCTTCAGCTATTAAAATGTCACCGCTCATGGAACGACGATGTGTAATGTCTGGAAAAGCAATATTGTCACTATCCTGTGTCAAAATTTCTGTGGTTTCCTCTAAAAAGCTGTTGTTGTTTTTATTTTTCAGAGCTGGCGGATATTTTTTTGTGCGACTGAAGTACGTCAAAGCCATCATCACACCAGCCTGTCAGACCTCCGGAGTGAAATTATCAAGTAACTGTTGATGCATGACTTGTCCCAGCATTCCTGGATTTGACAAGCCAGATTGCCCACACACTTCCTCTGAAGGTGTATGCAGTCACTATCTTAGAGGTAAATGAGAAGATTATTGCATTCCCAGACAGCGACTGAGTCATGTGAACTAACCGCATATGAAATATCACAAAACGCAACATATGGCAGTGGTGAAAACCACACTGCCCAGCTGTCTGTCCACAGGTAGGGTGTTTTGAGCAGATGGAATGTGATGGGTTGCTAACACTGAGACTCGAGTGAACTTGACCTCTGCTCTTTGAGAAAGGGCCATTCCTGACATTTTTTGTCAAGTGAAATTCTTGTATTTTAGGCCTGTAGCCTGCCTGGTGTAAGGGTGGTTCTTTTTTTCTCGAAAAGTGGACCTTTTTGCAGTTTTTCGCCTTAAGAGATTTAAATGCTGCATTCAATGACATTTTAAGCACTATTTTAGCTGGATTAGCTAGTGGAATGGTCATCACCTAATCTGTTAAAGTTTTAGTTTAAAAACTGTAGCCTATTGTCATGTATTAGGCAAATAACAAACTGACCAGCACATTCAACTTTCCTCAGTCAGAATATGGGCATTTGAATAATAAAAAATAACAATATAACAATATAACAATTATAAAGAGCTTCATGGTTTGTCTAGCCTCTCTTGTAAAATGTACGTTTGATTGAAAATTCATGGATAACAACAATAGCCAAATTAGTATTGAAATTCATTTCAATTTTTGGTGCTTCACATCTTTTTATCTGTCATTTTTGTTTCAAGAATAAGGTCAAAGATTTAGAATAAAAGTTACTTGTAAAATGTTTTCTCTATTTAAAAGCATAACATTAGTGAAATATGACTTTATTTACATCCGATTTTATGTTTTCTTGCACAGCTGAATGTTGAATTCATGAAAAATTATAGTTTGCATTAGACAGAACTGATTAGCTGAAGTCACACTGATGTGATGGTCAACAGAGGATTCCGCTCTGCCTTTTTCAATGGGTTATTTTCACAGTTTATGATGGTGTAGCAGTTAAATGGAACAAAGGACCTCATGTATGGGACAAATTCTGGACCTGTGTCATTGAGGAGGGAGTCTTTCAATTGACCGGGACACCCCAGGCTACGGGCTTACATTTCTAGAGAAAATTCAGCTTTTTTCATTTTGAACCAGATGTCTTTTTAGCATTTGTGTTAATATAATTGTACAGCAAACCACTAGAAACAGCAGGATTGTTGCATGTATTCCTATAGATATTTCTGTCATGAACACTCTCAGGATTTAGGATGGTAATAAAATATTTATCGCGCAATGTTGATGTATTTGGTCTTGGCGGTATAGATCTGCTACGCTGCTGCTTTGATTATTATGGCAGAGCAAGTACTGAGACCTGCTACTGCCAGTATGTACACACGACACAGACATGCCATCTGAGAATATAACACGCTGCTGCTGCATAAACAATATATATGTAACCCCCATAGCAGATCCAACACAGGTGGAGCTGGGGTGGAGTAGGGTCTCCGAAAACATGCTGCAGCCTAACAACGTAAAACACTGCGGCGCTTTTAAACTGATAAGGAGCAAGCTCATTGGCTGCCAAGGTGGCAGCAACCAATCTCCTGCGCCATGTAGTTAATGATACAGGAGGAGATTAGGTGACCTGATTATTAGCCTGAGTGCGCATGGTTTCATGGAAGAAATTTTACTTATTTAAATTGCAAAGACTTTCATAAAATGTGAAGTAAAACACATAAATATATAGATTGGTTTAATAAAAAAGGTATTTATACATTTATTCAGCTAGGATGCATTGATTCAAAATCAATGTAAAGACAGTTAATATGTTGTAGAAGACTTTTATTTTAATTGTTTTGAAGTTGAAGTTGTTTGTCAAATTTTTTTTTTGAAAAAAGTAAAAATATTAAGTACTATTCAGCATCAGCAGGCTTTCAGCTAAAAAATTCAGCTTTGCCACCACATGAATAAATTACATTTTGAAATATAACGTAATAAAAAAAATTCTTTCTGTCAGCTTTGGTTTAGAGAGTATAACTCACAACATAAGCATCTTAGTCTAACAGAATAGGTCAGATTTAATGTCAAACCATTAAATCATTAACTGTGCTAGGCAGGTGGGTTAAATACCAAATGACGGAGAGGTAAAAATATTGTATAAACAATATTCAGGCAGATTAGATACACTTCTTACCTCCTGCTGTTCACTTATGGCACACTCAAGCTGAATACCGAAGTGTATATGTGAGACAGATAAAGAGCAAACACTCTGCAAGAGCACTTTTGTTGTAAGAGGCTGAATGTGATAATAGAATAGGTGAACAAATGGTCTGAACCCCTGAACCTGTCAAAATCACGCACAGAGGTTACTCTTCAGCTTGGATCAACTCCAGTGACTCCTGTTCGGAATGCCAGGAATGTCTACAGGGGTCGGAAGTCTAGGAACCACAGTGTTCTTTTTCCGCAGTTAAGAAGAATGATGAATTTATGCTGCACTGTGATCGGTTTGCCTTTGTTTTCTTAACATGCACAGGAGTGTACATCGGAAAGGGAAAGCATAGCCAGGGTCAGCGTACAAAATCACAGAGCACAATGTCACACGGCACAAGGCGGCGGTGCTTATTGTTGCACAGAAGTGTTTAAGAGACCGAAGGGAACACTTGCGGATGAATTCAGCCTTGAATGAGCTGGCGACTTGAATACAAAAACTAAATCATGTCTCCTGAGCAAAGGTATTTCTGGAAAGACAAGCAGATCTGGAGGAGCGGGAAACCTACAGAGGGCTTTTGTGTAATTATGCTATTGTGAACTCAAGAATACATGTGTTTTGTGTAGCTCTGAGACTTTTAGAAGCGATAGATCATAAAGGTTCTTAATTTGCATTGATGATTCCATGAAAAAGGGTGGCATGGAGGCTTGGTGGTTAGCACTGCCACCTCCCAGCGTGAAGGTCACTGGTTCAAGTCCCAACTGGGCCAGTTGGCGTTTCTGTTCAGAGTTTGCATGTTCTCTCCGTGTTTGTGTGGGTTTCCTCCGGGTGCTCCGGTTTCCCCCACAATCCAGAGTCAGAATTGAATGAACTAAATTGGCCGTAGTGAATGAGTGTGTGTGTGTGTGTGTGTGTGTGTGTGTGTGTGAATGTGAGAGTATATGGGTGTTTCCAAGTACTGGGTTGAGGCTAGAAGGGCATGCACTGTGTAAAACATATGATGGAATAGTTGGCGAATCATTCCGCTGTGGTGACCTCTGAAATATAGAGACTAAGCCAAATGAATGAATGATTCCATGAAAGACCCTTAACACCTATGGAAACCTTTCATTTAACATAAGGTTGTTCAAAATGAAAAATGTTTAGGTCACACTTTATTATAAGGTGTCTTTGTTACTATGTAATTATTCATTTAGCTGCTGAGTAATGTACTTATTGAACGGTAAAGGTTAGAATGCAGGTTAGGTTTAGGGTTATTTGCGTGTAATTATGTATAATAAATAGTAATTACTATAGTAAATACACAAAACATGTGTAACAAAAACACTTCAAAATAACGTGTTAAAATTTTTGTATAAATTTTATTTAGTTAAACCGAAATTTTAGTTTTTAGATGATGAAAAATGATGTTTGCAAAAAGAAAACAAGGGTTCTTTGAGAAACAAACATGGTTTTCTGGCATCACTGCTAAAAAAACATTTGGAACCCATTTTTAAGAGTGTAAAGAGTCAAGTCAGAAGAAACCTTTCATTTAAAAGAGTCCTCTTGTATTATTGGAAATGCTGTTAGTTTCCTTTGTGCAAAATGAACCCTTTGAACTTTGTTTTGACTTCCATTAGTTGACCAAACCTTACAGACCTACAAATCACCCTATAATTTGCACTTAAGACATTCTTACCAGGCCAATGAGGTACGGACTCCCAGCATCCCCTAGTAAGTGCGAGGTGAAGCCCTGGAAGGCAACAGCAGTGGCTCTTCTAGTGGGTATGACAACATACTGGAGAGAGACAAAGGAACACAGCAATGAGAATTTCAGATGAAATCTTAACTGGAAAACAAATGCAGTATGAGTGCTTACTTAAGCTGACGCTGTCAGAGTGCTTTACACTGACTGAGGCTGACTAGGGTTTAAGTATGCAGCAAGACCTCGGCTGACATCTTTTCTTGCTAAATCATTCACCCTGCCTTACATGCACTCTCTGTTTACTGCTCGCTTGTTCTCTCAGCACAAAATTACATTCAAACTGAAAATGCTATTTGGTTTTATTTTCCGTGAGTGGCATTTCCATTAAGCATAATCGAAGGCAGCAATTTTGTCTTGGGCCCCACCCAGGCTATGCCAAACCTCGTAGTCATGCATCCCACCGTTCAAAATAAGAAACTAGCCCAAGAAGATGACCACTTTTGTTACAGTTAAAGGCTTTAAAAGTTTCCACTCGACCCAGCAGATAAATACAGGCTTTCAATACAAACCATTAAAATGTCCGCTGTAATGGCCCAGTTCAAAAAGAGCAGCGTCTCTCCAATGAAAATGCAGATCTGTGAAAAAACACAAGAGGAAATAGACATAAAATAATAATACCTGTAGTTTAATACAACATATATGCATACACATGTTGGTTTTGGTGGTTTATGAGGAGATTTGTGGCATTAAATGCTGTAAAATGATTAATATATGGCCTTACCCTACCACTAAACCCATCCCTCAGAGAAAACCTGTGGCAAATTTTGCATGCAAAATAAAATGTATAATTTTTAGCCTTTTTTAAAATTGCAAAGAAACAAGACATGTCCTCATAAACCACATCGACAATGTAATGCTAGGTCATACCCATGTCATTATACAAATTTGTGTCCTTAGGGTTTGTATTTGAGTAGGGTTTGCAGTCGGTCAAAGACCAAATGAATCCAGCTCATCTACTAAATCAAACAAACCCCAATGAATGTTGTGGGATATGAAAACATGTCATTATACTGTGGCTGTATTATATGTCATTGTTGACTTGAGGGCAACACAACAGTATCCTGCTCCAAAACTCTTTAAAAGAGACAAAGTGGTTGGAATTAAACTAGAGTGGAGCTTAATGTCTGGCGGCTGAAAAACGTGTTACGTTTAACAAGTTATTTTAACAGGCTCACACAATCCCACGAGAACAGACTAACTGGCTTCGGCATTCCCACACAAATGAACTGATATCCCGAAGTGTCTGGTCTGGATTTTCAAGGTGCTTATGGCCGATTGAGACACAAGTATTCGATATGGCCACTAATCTTAGTGACTTGACAGAATGTGGATGGTCTGTCCTGCCGCTGACAGCAGCTGCTGGGGTCAAACCAGATGAGACAGTGTGTTTGGAGATCTTTGGGTGCAGGGGAATTCGATCGTTCAAGTGGTTGTTCTGACAGGGTTTTGAGAGATATGTTGACCAGGGCTGACAGAGGAATGAGCACAGTGTTTAAAAATGAGGTGGATGTTTTAGTATCAGCTTCCATTTACTTGCTGATGTTACAGAATATCTGAATGGAAGATGAGGAAATGAAAGCATGAAAGTGGGTGCGTTTTTGTTTGAAACTCTGTCCTGAAAGTGACTTGCAGCTCAGACGGCGTGACGGATGGGCTAAAACTGTAAAGCCCTTCAGGAGTGTGAATTGTGATCAGGCATCATGCAGACGAGACAGCAGCTGTCCCTGCTGGAACAGACCCTGACAGAGCTCCAGCACACTGTCACATTCTCGCACTGCACATCTGTCACGATCACATTTTCTCACTCCAAATATTTTCCCTCCTTAAAGTTTTGGATTCCTTGTTTTTCGTGTGCTCCATTTGGATGTAATTACAGCAACCGTTTGGCAGGTGATTGAAATGGAGCTTATGTCTTTAGTTGGGAACTGGCCTGGGTATATTTCTTAAACCAAAAATGCCACTGTATTTTTCAAAATATGGTAATAAGGCACTGTGGTCAATATTATGTGTCATTCATTTCTGAAAATACCCTAAATTAGACCGTTTACATTAAAATCTGTTCAATATATAAATTCAATCTAATTTAATTAATAATCTATAAAATCTATTAGTTCTCAAAAACCAATTTGTGCTGTGCTGAGAGTAAAGCTGCGGTCACATAAGAGTTTGAGCATGCAATATTCTGGCGTGCAGCGCTGCAAAACACGCTTATTAGACATTTTAAAAAGCAAGTGATTGCTCCAAGTTTTAAATTTCTGTCCAGAGATGTCATGTTTTGATCCTCGATTGGTCTCACACAGTCTAGTGATGCGATCACCAAGCTTGAACTTTGCACTGCAGCAACCTGCGAAATTTGATGCATGACCCTGTGTTTCCGGTCTGACGCATTCGCGTGCGTATGAATTGAAGTCTATGGGGAAAGAGTCAAGTGTGACCGCAGCTTCAGACTTTGCAAAATATTATTTTTCCCAACTTAATTGATTTATTTTCTATTTAATATTTTTTTTAACCTTTGAAAAAAATTATTAACAAAAGTAAAAAAGGACAGAAGGAGAATAAAATAGAAATTAAAACAAAGAACAAAGCTGTTGTCATATGGGTAACAAAATCCAGTCATAATAAATTTGATGCACATTATCACATATTGTTTCAAATGACATACTCTGACCATTTTTTAAAATTAAATCTTAGGTTAAAAGTCAGTCTCTCTATACAGTGCATTTCCTTTACAATTCCTATTCATTAAAACCATTTTCGACTTATAACTTTTTTTGTCAATAGTTGGAATATTTCTGGTATTCTCCCAATGTATAATGTAATAAATGAGTAGTCCAATTCTTCTCCAGTTTTTTTTTTTATATCATTCACTATTTCATACCAAAAGGTCTGTATTTTGGGCAAGCCCAAAAACATGAAAATGGTTAGCCATTGAGGTTCCACATTGTCTCCAACAAGAGCCCAAACTTTCAATACCTGTATGCAATGCAGACAGTTTAGGAGTTATGAAGAACCTCATTAAAAACTCTCCAAGCTCTCGAGTTTATGGTTTTTGCATGTGAGACACACATACAGTATCTGTGACTGTCCTGTCTTCCTCTGTTATTTATTAGTTTGAGTCTCACATTTTTGTTTTATGTAATTTGCAATTTAATTTAAATGTATTAATACTAAATATATCTAAATTCTTAAATATGAAAAGATATATAACAACTTTTGGGGATCAGTAGGGTAAAGTAAAAACAACACGGCATGGCAATGTGTAAACTTTTTAATTTATTGAATAATTCAGACGATCTCATTCATACAGTTATAGTATGATTTCCTTATCCCCAACGAAGGTTGGGTTTAAGCTCGGTGTTGGGTGCCTACCTACTTTTTAAAATCATACATTTTCGTACAACTGAACTTACAAATGAGCCACTTAACTGACAAAACATAAAGTAATTATGTGTCCTAGTGATAACAGGCTGGTAAAAACAGTAACATTGTGAACAATTTCTGTTTACTACTTAACATATTTAAAAATGTACTTACTAACTGTAAAGAATATTATTATTAAAAGTATTAATAGTAGAAATGATATTTAGATTTTTCAAATCATGATACATTTGTCAGGATTTGTCGAGGAGTATATAAATATAAATGACTTAAATGAGCATAAATCTTTGTATTGACATTCTGAATGTCTCTACTGTCACTATTGATCATACTGTACATGCTAAATTAAAGTCTTTTTTTGTAAATCTCAAAACTTTAAAAGCAGTAAATTAAGGTACTTATTGTTATTTTTGTCTCATTTTGCAGATCAAAATCCAGCCCAGTATTAGTGCACGAGATGCCAACTGGACACCTAAGCAGCCAGGACTACCCACAGGTCAGACCTTCTGCTTTACACACCTTTTCAAAGTCAGCAATTCTTTTTACAAAAGGCAAAAATGTGTTGGTTAAGTTGAAAACCAGCCACAATAGTTTCACACTAAAGATAAGGTAACAAACATTGAGCAAGTTTCTCAAACATAACACCAGACTGATGGCATTATCACAGTGTACTTGGCTCTTTTGTCCATAAGAAAGACAAACAGTCCCTAAAAATACTTTCTCATCAGACTTCTCATCAAAAACACTTGCAAGATTCCCACTCTGGTTTGGCCCTCCAGGGAACATGTAGCATTTTGTTCCGACCTAATTGTTTTTTTGTTGTTGGAAGAACGAGTGTGACCTGGTAGATGTTTTTTTCTTATACAGCATAACTTTTCTCTATTAGTGACTCACAAATGCCACAGTCCATTGTTTCTCAGCAGTAACTGTGAAAGTTGCTCCTTTTTCCTGCTTTACATGGCAATTAAACAAGTACGCAGCGCCTGTCGCTCTCATTCTTTTAGTGTTGGGTTTGGATCCGACAATCCTGCCAAGCAACTATGGCTGTTAAATCCACTGAATGCAACAGACTTTTTATCGTTTAAAGTCTTTAACTCTGGATAGAAGTGACCTTATTTGACTTTTAGTGAATGGTAATAATAGGTTAGTTAGAAAGAAGCTCCATAGAGATAGGCTGATGCTTAATGTTCAGAAGGCTTTCAGGAGAGAATGCTTGAGTCTGCACCTCAATTCCAATGCAACCAATATAATGACAGCTGTTTTATTCCTAATTTATGGAGCAAAATTGGAGAGCACTTAACAATTCTTTGTCTCAGGATTTACTATTTAGGAGGTTTGAGTTAAGAATGTTAAGATTTGTTTATTACATAAAGGACTTCAAAAGTTTATTTTGAAATTAAAATATTGTTGTTTAGAAGTTTTTTTTTTTTTTTTGGTTACAGAAAGAATCATTTTTTAAGCAAATGTTGAATTTTCATTATTATTATTTTATTATTGCAGATTTTAGCAGGGTTGAAACTAATCTGAAAAATCCATACAGATTATACAAACTGTCAAATCAAAACAAGCAAAAAACAAAACAAAGAAAAGGTAAAAATAGTTAATAAATGATGATAAATAAATAATAATGAAAAGAAAATAACAAGGAATATGACATAAAATGAAGAATTATATTACTATCAGCAAGGAATATGAAATAAACACAAAGGATATTAAATAAAATTAATAATTAAAACAGAATGGTGTGCCAAATATTGCTTTTTAAATCTTCCAAAGTTAAAACATTGGTATTTTGTTGTTTGAAGATAATATAATGTGGTTTAAAAAATAAGCTAAACATTTATTTAAAAAATCACATGGTCTGTACATTTTTTTTCGTAGCTGTATAGATAAATAATATAATTTTATTGATTGATTTATTTATTTATTTATTGTAATAAGCTGAATGCAAACACAAAATATATCCACTTACATAAGCTCCAACTATGCTCTTCTTGGCCACAACAAAGATGAGGCAGATGAAGATGGCAGAACCCAGCATGCTGACCGCACACACCAGCGGGTCGGCACGCTCCGTCTTCTGACGGCAAAGTCGTGTGGTCACAGCACCGATCACCACTCCCAGCAGCCCCGTCACACATGTGATGGCTCCAAATATTAAACTGGACATAGCAGAGAGGTAGTCTTTGTCAAACTTATAATGTTTGTTATGAACATCAGTTTTCAAGCGGAGTGTGTGCGTGTGTGTTCTGACCTGTCTCTGCTGCTGCAGGGTTGATATGTGCAGCTCTCTGCTGACTTTTGCACCACCTGAGCTCTGACCAGGTACTGTGGGATCCAGATCCCAAATGCCCCCGTGGCAAACGACACAGCAGCCGATGCCAGAGATGAAAATACATAACTACGACTGGAAACACAAAGAAAAATTATCAATATGAATTTATCTCGTTTTTTTTTGCAGTTTGGCAACAACAAAGATAGTGGTGTAAAATAAAGTCTAAAAATATAAATCCACTTTTAATGTTATTATACAAATACATGTTATTATTACAGTGCTCCTTAGCTATGAGGCGGTTCACCTTTTGTGTTCTCACAGAATTTTTTTTGTGCAATTTGACATGTTTTTTTTTTTTGTACAGCACATTGTGTTGTGTCCTGACTGGTTGTAGACTATTGTCGATCAATCTCCTCCATGCCGTGTCTCCTGTACAGTACAGAATGTGTTCATCTTGCCAAATTTACATAAATCTTCGATCACTAGCAGTGTGACTCTGAGTGCTGTACTGTATCTTTGCAAGTTTTATCCCCCAACAAACCCCATAATGTCGGCGAAACTTTCTGCACCGTCAAAGGCACCCACGGTAGCACCCAAAAGGCAGAGGAAGATGCTAGTCATCGCAAAAAAAGTTGGACTTCTGGACATGCTAAAAAGGTAGAAGTTATGTGGCTGAAGGGTGTCATTATGAAATAAATTTATAGTTTCGTACATATTCGGTTTTACAGCCTTAAAACATCTAGAATAATTGTAAAAAATAAAGCGGACTGCTTCGCGGATTTTGCCTATTGCAGGTTATTTTTAGAACGTAACTCCTGAGAATAATGAGGGACCAGTGTGTGCACTTCTGTCAAATTAAATACCTTAATATATACAGTATTTATATTTAAAATGTAATAGGAAAATAACAAAAAGCAGTTACAATTGTAATAACTTTAGTTGAATTACAAAATGTCACATCACGGAATAGTTCATAAACTGCTTGAAATTTTGTCAACTACTCAATTGCTGTTTTTAGGCACTGCTCAAGCTCTCAATAAGTTCAAGCGAAAGCAGAACTGTAAAAACTGTAGATGTTAAAGTCATAGTTCACCCAAAAATGTCAATTCTGTCATCACTACCCTTCGTCCACTTGTTCCAAATCTGTTTGAGCTTCTTTCGGCTGTTTAACACAAGAATGTTGTGGAAAAAACATTTATTGACTTCCACAGTAACTCTTATCTTATCTTATGGATGTCAATTTCAGATTTCTTCCGCAACATTTTTTTTTTTGAATATCTTGTTTTGGTCAGTATTTTTTGAGTGTGAGCAAATAATGAGGACATTTGTTTTTGGGTGAACTGAAGTTGAAATCAGAATTATTAAACCCCCTTTGATTTATTACTTTTTAAAGTATTTCACAAATGATGATTAACAGAGCAAGGAAATTTTCACAGTATGTCTAATAATATTTTTTTCTTCTAGAGAAAGTCTTTTTGGTTTTATTTCAGCTAGAATAAAAGAGTTTTTTGATTATAAAAAAACATTTTAAGGTCAATATTATTACCCCTTTAAGCTATATCTTTTCTCAATAGTCTACAGAACAAACCATCATTATACATTAACTTATATAATTAACCTAACTTGCCTAGTTAACCTAATGAACCTAGTTCAGCCTTTAAATGTCACTTTAAGCTGTATAGAAGTGTCTTGAAAAATATCTAGTCAAATATTATTTACTGTCATCATGGCAAAGATAAAAATAAATCAGATATTAGATTGGATTTATTAAAACTATTATGTTTAGAAATGTGTTGAAGAAATCTCTCCTTTAAACAGAAATTGGGGAAAAAATTAACAGGTGGGCTAATAATTAAGGGGGGCTAATAATTCTGACTTGAACTGTGTCCCTTTAAGAGGGGATCAATATTCTGATTGACTGATTGTTAAGTTTTTACATCTGGTACACTCCAGTCCAGAATATACTGTATTAGGTTCATTGGATTCTTAAAGTGATGTGTACAGAAAAAGAATAAACATGTAACATACTTTTTGGCGAGAGCTTTCATGTCACAGACCCAGGAAGTGCGTGTCTTTAATCGTCCACCAGGTTGGTCAGCGCTTCCTCTCTTCGGTTCTGAGACAAAGATGAGGATGAGCGTCCCAGCAGTCAGACCCAACATAGGAGAAACCTTAAGACGGGGAAGAAAAATAAAAATATGACACGTTTTAGAAAGAGTTTAGCCTTGAAAAATAATAACAGTTGTCTTGAGTAAGATCTCTGCTTTTTAAGAAATTTTTATTGAATACATCTTATGTTTACTTTTCTACACCATTGGTATTTTTTATTAAAAACATGTATAAATATGTTGTTATATTATAAATAATTTAATTAAACTCAATTGAATAGATAAATAAAACTAAACAAACAAATATAATTAAATAAAGTCAAATAAAATCTTTATAATCTTACCAAAGTTTTATTTTACACAGATTTAACGGGAGAATTCTTCCAGCTTTAGTACTGTAACTAGACTAAACACTTTTGCTTGTGTTACAGTGAGCCTGTGCCATTTGCTATAAACAAAATCCTCCGGGCTGAACAATAAGAAACCGTCTTGCATCCTGTTTGGTCTAGCGAGTTATTTGTCGAGTCCATAATTTAGTGATTAGCTTATGGTTTTGTGTGTTACAGAGGCGTTTTATTTGTATTTGCATGAGGGTGTGTAGTGTTGGCGGTGTACTGGACTGCCGTGTGAAGTGGACTCCATTAGGTGATGTTTCTTTTCTTCATCCTCTGCTTTTCTTTCTCACTTTTCTCCCTTGTGTGGGAGCAGCTGCAGTCCACCAGGCCATGAGCTATTATCTCTTTTATCATCCTTCCTGATGGCTACAGCTCAGCAGTGTGTGTGTGTGTGTGTGTGTGTGTGTGTGTGTGTGTGTGTGTGTGTGTGTGTGTGTGTGTGTGTGTGTGTGCATGTGTTAGTTGGTTTGCTCGCCCACATGGAAGCAGCATAAGCGCCTCCGTCGCTTGTGAAAGCCAAAGCAATTCTGTCTGTCAGATGCAATCCTCCTGGAGATCTTTTATAGCACATTAATGCAAAGCTCTGCACACAATTGTGAGTCTTATGGGTGTGTATATGCGTGCATGAAAAGATCTAGTACATCTGCACTGCAGAAAAAATAAAACGTTGGTGTAAATTTTGTCTTATATGACTTTTATACAACAAAAAGTCCTACAATGACTCATGTAGAGGTGAATATGTTTTATTGACTCTTAATGTGCCTGTTGGCTTTGATTTATGTTTTATGAATCACCAAGGATCATAGTTTCAGCTAATATCACTACGGGAAAATAGTCTTGGATATCCTTGCGATAAATTAACATCAAGTTTATTTTGTTGGAGGATAAACTAGCCTTTTAAAATACTTACATTGTTTTTCATACTGCTTAGTTTGTTAGTTTTTTATAATTAGTTTGACATCGTTACAAAATCTTTAAAATAATGCTGTTTTTAAGAAACTGAAAAAAGTGTTATAAAAAAGGGTAATAAGTGTAAAAAGTGTAATGATAATAATAATAATAATAATAATACCACCACCAATAATAATAATAATAATAATAATATTAACAACAATAACAACAAAAAAATAATAAAAACAACAACAATAATAGTAATAATAATAATAATAATTATTATTATTATTATTATTATTATAACAATAATATGAATAATAATATAACAACAATAATAATATTCGTAATAATAATATAATAACAATAATAATATTATGAATAATTATATAATATCAACAACAATAATGAAAACAACAACAATAATAATAATAATAATAATCTTTATTTTTTAAGCGCCTTTAAAAGTAGCATCTCAAGTGGGGTGTCAAAATGAATTGCTACTTCGGTGCACTGCAATGCAGACGCGGACAATTTGGTATTTGTTCAGTAATCGTTCCTAACCGGTTATTACGTACTGATGTCATTTATCTCATAAGTGCTATGTCACGTTATAATACTATGGCGAAGGAGGTGAGCGTAAGTAAATAAAACACAGAATCTCTGCACAGTTCACTGCATGTGTGTACTAGACAGTCATTTACTGACACTGAAGTTACAGCAGAAGCCCATGTTTCACTGCTATGGAGAAAATAAAAGTAAACTCCATTTCTAATATTTACATTTGTTTATTTGCTTTAAGTTCTCATGTTGTTCTGTGCATGTACTTGAGATTTGTTTGATGCAAAAAGAGTGTTTTCTTTGAGCAGGTAAAATTAAAGGTACAGTTCATATATCTGACTACGTGTATTAAAAGACAGTATTGTTTTACACATGCCTATAAGATGTATATACTGTAAAAATTATACATTTTAATACAAGAATTCTTGTAATTCAATTTGATATCTTGGTGCATTGACGATGTTTTCCACTGGAAAGCATAGTCAATGCACCGAGATATCGAAATTGAACCGAATCGATGACATGATAATCATAACCGAAGCAAACTGTGAGACCACTGTAGGTTCACATCTTTTATCTCAAGGCACTTTACAGACATAAAATGTGCAGCAGTAAAAGATACAATGATGAATGCAAACAAAATGTAATAAGAAAAAATAATTAAACATATAAAATAATAATAGTAATAGATCTAAAAATCCCATAAAAGTCAAATAAAATCAAATAAAAACTAAGAAAGTAAGTTTTAAGGATGATTTAAAAATACTCAGGGATTCTGCAATGTGAATATCAGAGGGTAAGAGTTCCACAATTTACAGCAGGTGCCAATGAAGAAAATAAGACTGAGAAAGACCAGTATCAGGCGAGCGTAAAGCATGTCTAGGAGTGTATGGGATTAAAAGCTCAGATAAATATTGTGGTGCTAGACAATTCAAGGCCTTTTACAAAAGCATGTGGGTTTTAAAATCAGTTCTATAACTGACAGGAAGCCAGTGCAGAGTTTACAAAATTGGGGTTATGTGCTCTCTTGCTCTGGTTCTAGTCCGAATTCTGCTGAGTTTTGTACTTATTGTAGCTTGTTCAGGGTAGAAATATCTCACAATATTACTAAACTTATTTTAGTTATTAATTTACTGTTTTGATTTAATAAATGTATCATACATATAAATATGTACAGATACAGTGTACAAGAATAAATTGGATAATTAATCCTTATAATAATTAAAGAATTTTGCCACTTAATATATGTGCTATTTTGTACACATACAGTATTAAGAGATATTACTGGAAAATAATACATTATTTAATACTACTACTACTACTATTACTACTACTACTACTACTACTAATAATAATAATTATTATTATTACTATTGTTATTATCATTATTTCTATTATAATTGGTATTATTATTATTATTATTATTATTATTATTATTATTATATATTTTTTTTAAATAATTACTTGCTAATTTCAGTACCATAAATCTGCCTAATGAACTAGATGAGAATATAAAGTAGCACTGCTTCCAACTGAAATGCTGCTGTTTCCTGCACCGTACTGTGATTCTGTGGACTGACTGTGTATCCTTGTGCACCATGGTGCTTTGATACAGAGCTGCAGTGTCTCACTAAAGCCTGGATTTAGCCTTGTTATCCCTCCATAACTAGAAAACCCTGCAGCCGTAAAACAGGTCTTTGCAGTGGCTGTCAGTTCTGAGTGTCACCAAAGGGGATCCCTCCCTTCCTCTCCGGTCCAGTTTCATATCAAAGCCTGCGTTGATCAGTCATCTTGAACTTTGACTCTGCCTCACATTCTTCCTCGTTTTGTATGGCGCTGCCCTTTCCTGATAATCTCAAACTAGTAGCTTCTTTCGTGGGATGCCAGAGAGCAAGTGTAATCAAAGAAAGAAAGATCAAGGTGCAATTTCTGCTGGCATTTTCACTCTATGACCCTAAGAAGATTGATATGGCTCTCAATAATTATTATATAATCCTTCAATCCCAAAAAACACACTCCCTCTTTGAGAACGGAAGGCGATCAAGTTCTTTAAGGCCTGCAAAACAAGCGGAAAGTGGCATGGAGTGTTTTTTCCCCTCTCAGGGCAGGATATGGCCGATACTGTGTCCCTTTTCATCTGTATGTTGTTTTTATACTGGTTTAAAGTGCTGGCGATGATTAATAGTCCCCCAAACCGTGAGCTTTGTCATCTCAAGGAATGTTTTACACCATCCAAGAGCTCAAGAAATAGCGCTTTACTACTGTTTGCAAAAGCAGTCCAACTAACTTGCTCCCAATAAAGCCAATTGTGTTCCCGAGGGTCATATAACTGTCATGGAGAGAGGGAGTTCTTGTAAGCTTGAGAGAGTTTAACACTCCTCTTAAAGTTTCCTTTTAGGCCTAAGAGTTTTAAAAGAGAGCCACACAATGTTGTTCAAGTTTATGACAATGCCTTGGTGGATTCTTCATGTGTTTTTTTCTAATTGGATAGCTATATGATCATGAAAAGGACAGGTGTAAATGGCTTCTGAAATGCATTCAAGATATGTAAAAAAAAAAAACGATTGCTTGAACCACCTCCAGTGTTGGGCAAGCTACTTGAAAAATGTAGTGAGCTAAGCTATTAGCTACTCTACTTAAAATGAAGCTTAATTACACTAAAAGCTACCCTCTGGGAAATGTAGCAAGCTAAGCTAAAAGCTACTTGGCAAAAGTAGCTTAGCTACATTTTAGCTATTTTTGCAATATTCATTTTTAAATCCAAGCAACTTAAATTCAAGTCAATCATATCTAAGTGATTGTCAGATTCTGTCTTCCATGTATGTTTGTTTTCGTCATGTGACCTTCCCCATGTGCTCATTTGTTCTAGTTCTCTCCATTAGTTTGTTCATCGCTTTCACCTGTGTCTCACCCCTGTATACAATCAGTTCAATCACTCTCTGTGTATTTATTGTCCCTGTGTGTCATTCAGTGTTCGTCTGGTATTCTGTCTCAGTTGATGTCTTTTTCCACCCTATGTCATTCCTGAGTCTCCATTGTCCTTCCACGTAAGTGTTTGTTAATAAATCTATGTATTTGATACTCCTGTGATTCTGTGCCTTCCTGAAGTAAACCCAGGCATTACAGTGATCAATAAAACTGTCAGTGAAACATTTGAGGCATAATTGTTCAGTTTAGTGATCTAATGCAATTAATATGCTGTACTAAACTAACAAATTCTAAAATATAACAGCAAAATCCAAAAATCCAACAAAATTAGATGTTACACATTTAAAATATTATAGTAATTTATAGTAAAAGGAAATATTAAGGAATAAGCATTATATTGTGCATTTACATATATACTTCATTAATGAATTACACTACATAATGTAGTATCATTAGAAACTATCATGAATTAATAGTAATTACCTTAGTCTGTACTACATCTTAACATGTACTTCTCGAGGTATAGTCAGAGGTATAATCCTGCTTCAGAAATAACTTTTCTCCCACAGTCATCTTTCTATCAAGCTAATTTTTTGTATTAGCCTAATTGGTTGGCGATGTCACCGACTAGAGTTAGAGGTAGGAGTAACGCACCAAAAAGTTTGTTGCCGACCACCGTAAAACAGGTAGAGGAAGAAATCGTCATTCTCGCCATCATATGGATCTACTTTTTTCGGCTAGACACCGGCCTCACAGCTCCATGAATGTTGGTGCCATCACTTAATGATCCGCGATCAGTAAATGTAGCTTGAGTGGACGCTACATTGCTACTTGACTTATGAAAAGCTGTTTGATTTAGAAAGCTACCGCCACGTTACTGAGAAATGTAGTTAAACTACTGCCCAGCACTGGCCACCTCTATGGAGATCCCAGTTTAGCGGCTCATTCACTGAAAAAATGCACAGTTCCAAACAATTTCTTCATGTTGTCTCAACAAAAATCAATTAAGTTAACTTAATTATTTTGACAAATCAAGTTGATTAAACACAAAACAACTAAGATATCCAACAAAAGCCCTCAAGAATTGTGTTGATTCAGCTCATTATCAATAAGTAGTTTAAACAAGCAGCAACTAGGTCTCCGCACAGGTCATGTGACCGAAAATAATCATTAGCCTGCATAAAGTATGAAATAATTTGTTTGCAGAAAAAGATATATAGCTTACATTTCTGAAGCAAAAATAAAATTGTGAAATAAAATTTGTTATATAAACTGAATCTGGCTCTTTAGTCGACGTAACCCAGTAAAATTTGCATATATTGTGGAATTTGAAGATCAGATTTATATCCATTTAGTGGAGACTCATTTATGTGGCCAAATATAAATGGAACTGTTTTCACAAATCGGATCAGAGAAAAAGGCATGAAGTGACCAGTTGTAAACAGCCCCTGTATAATGGAGTAATGAAGCCCACCTGTTAAGTTTCACCTGTTAAAGTTTAAACTGAACAAGTGAAGCATCTGGTTTTAAAACAGCTTAAATGAAGGACGAAAGATAGGAATCTAAAGAGGCCACGCACTTTCTCCAGTTGTTTTAGCTCTCACTTTCGTTGCCCAAAAACACCACATCCCTTCCTCTCACTCAATCATTTCAAAAATTACAAATTTTAGCCGTATTACAAAGTGCTCAGTTTGGCTCGTTTGGTTAGGGCGGCAAACCCTCAAGGCTAAGGAATAGCCTGCAACAAAAGGGCCTGTGTAAGTGAGCCCCCTCTTCTACTGGGTCTCGGTAATACAAAGACCACAGTGAGAACTGTGAGGACCTTGTTACTGCATTACTCACGGATAGCGTGTGTGAGCGGGACCCAAGAGAGCTGGAGGTAATGCTAAATTAATGCACTTAAGCTTGCCGGATTGTCAATGCCCATTGCAGTGGCTTGAAGGGGGCAGGAATGTTCTGTTGCTTTTTCAAGAGACAGGCTGAAAGTATTTTGGGATTCACCTGTCTGCCATGGGTTTTAGGGATATTTTTAAGCAGGACGAGAGGAAATGGCGTGTATTTGTGGAGGTTATTCATGCTTCCTTTAAAATATTGATGTAACACACAGAGACATTTCGGCAGCTCTTACCCTCAGTGCCCAGTACCAATGCCCTCCAGCATCTTTAGCAATTGATCCCAGGATGTAGCCCAGACCGCTGCGGAGAGAGAGCAAAACATGTTATTATACACAAGCAAACATATCATATTCAAAGCGTAAACATCTACACTCCAGATGGTTTTGGCTAGTTTAAGCCGGTATAGGCCAGGGCAGTTTTAGTGTTGAATTTGTATGTTTTATAGTTTATTGTTTACTTTAGAGACTTAAGGCAGTTTTTATGTGAAAAGCTAATTGGCAAGAGAACAAAATAAACCTGCAATAACATGAAGAAAAAAAAGTTTAAAAACATAGCTGCAAGCAGTGATGTCACTAGCAGAAAAAAAATGCACTGTGGGTACATGTGTTTAGTTTCATTCATCTGAATGTTATGATACTTGACCACTTTAATTACAATTGAAAACAGTCAAGGGCGGCAGAGTGGCTCAGTGGTTAGCACTGTCGCCTCACAGCAAGAAGGTTCGAGTCCTGGCTGGACCAGTTGGCATTTCTGTGTGGAGTTTAAACGTTCTTTGTTCGCGTGGGTTTCCTCTGGGTGCTCCGGTTTCACCCACAGTCCAAAGACATGCGCTATAGGTGATTTGGATTATATGAATTGGCTGTAAAGTATGAGTGTGTGTGGGTGTATGGGTGTTTCTCGGTACTGGGTTGCGGTTGAAAGGGCATCTGCTGCGTAAAACATATGCTGTAATAGTTGGCAGTTCATTTCGCTGTGGCAACCCCTGATAAATAAGGTACTAAGCCAAAGTCATGCTATAAAGATTAGTTCAGTCTCAAGACTTTGCATTTTACCTCATCTGTTCAGCAGTAGTTAAAGCACCACTGATTGACAGGTAAATGTATCCATTTCATACACTTCTCAAGTTTTGGGAAAGGAGGAAATTGTAAATTGCCCAGCCTTTCAGGCAACCTGCTGTCTGTGTTGCAAGACCCATACAAACACATTTTCAAAATATTTCATGTTAATCGCCAATGTTAAGGTGGATTAATACTTCTGCATCAAGCACACGTGTATGGTCCTGCGCAGCCTTTGAGTGGTTGCATAGCCTTTGCCGTGGCTAACGCCAACGCTGATGCGCACCTCTCAAAAAATGTAACTACATGTCGCAACATAGTGTAGCGCAAGATCTGTGATTGGTTAACTTGGTAGCACTGACGAGTGAGGGCGGTGGTGAAAGCTGCACAAACCCATTGCAATGAGTGTCGAGTCCCATGAAGGAGCTCCAGATGGAAACTTTTGTTTTGTGTTTACCTTATGAGTAAAGTTATTGCAAGTGTGCCGGTGCCCACCTCTGAAAGGGGGTTTGAGCAACTTTTACATTAAGGTAGCATTCAGAAAAAACAAAACAACTATGGAAAAACTTGATACAGAGGAAAATTAACAACCTAACTGTTTTGGAAGTGTTATTGCAGAGCAACATAAACATCGCACAGAAGTATAAATGCACGGCTACACGCAATGCGATCACATGATGCATAAGTATAAACCAGCCTTTACTTTACTATGATACCTTATGGACAAAGTGTCAGACAGAAATAGTATATCGCGTTATGATTGGCCGAATATCCTGTCAGTCAAATTGCCTTGAAGGGTAATTGCCCAAAACTCCTTTAAAACTACTGATCAGATCAGCCTCCCCAGCTTTTGCTGGTTTAAACTGTTTTGCCAAGTGCCTGTCTCATTCAATCAGTCTATCTTCTTTTCCCAGCTGTCTTCCCTACCCAAAGATGTGTCATGCAAACCTAAAACTTTCATGCACTGGGTAGGCTGACTGAACTGAGCTTGCATACTAATGCTGCTGATAATGGCTTTACACAGAACATCACCTCTGGCTATGTAAGAGAGTCAACCACTTAGCATTACTCTGGGGCTTACAATGACAGATCAGCTCCAAGGGAAAGGGAGAGAGAGATGTCTGGGAGGAGAAGTCTGCTTCCCACATTGTGCTTCTTGGGTTTTTGGATGAATTTGGGAACTGTGGTGAAATGCTGAGATCAAAGGTTCAGATGACCTACTTCTGAGAGTCCCTGTCTGAGGTTGTAGGATACGGCTGCAGAGAGCATGTGTCTCATGAACTTTTTTTGCTAAGTCCTTCTAAGGTAAGGCTGCCTGACAGAGAGTGATATAGGAATAGGGGAAAGGCGAACACTTAAGGTGGGATCATTTGAGCCATGTCGGTATCTGAGGAATCTGTGAGTCACATCTTTTTCAGACGCAGACGAAACTCTCTCAACTCTGCATCCTGTTTACAGTCTGATAAAGTTCATAATTGCACTGTTATGATCTTGGTGTGGATGAGGCACTGCTCTCTGTTTGCTGATTATCTAGTTTGTGAATACCGCTGAATGTTATTTGACTGAGCTGTCTGTCATCGGACATTGTATGAACTGTTTTCTCTCCCTGGTCATAGTCTGTATAAGAAAATGGGGGACTCACTGTTTTTATTTCCATCAGCTTTCCATTTCAGTACCACAGTACTCCTCTATATTCTCTTATTCATTATTCTGCTCATTCTCACTCACTCTCTGTTTCTCTTTCCCATGTTTGTGCACCTGTTACCAACCGCTCTCACACGGATTTGCAATAAATAACAGGAAGTGAAAAGAAAAGTTTATTCTTGCTATTTTAAGGATTGTTTTCCCTGGTTCTTTTGTGAAGGTGTGCAAGCCACGAAAACAGGATATACTAACTGAATTAGTTTTTTGTCTTTGCAGTTTATCATGAATAAACCTTGATTGGAATTGATTTCCTCCACTTACATTCCTTACATTCCTCCACTTTGCTGATTGTTTATATTAAACTGGAATACTGCATATACCTATAGAGCTTTGTTACAGCAGACTGTTGTATTTTGCGGACATTCGTTATTTATTGCAAGTCAGGCCCTGGCAAAACTGCAGTGTTTTAATCGTTCTGTTTAAATTTGGAGCGTCCCTCCCAGCGTTTAACCTCACACACACTTCCTGTGTTCCCAGACAGTCGCGCCAGGCTGTCGCTCAGCAGGTAAAACACGTTGTTTACATTTTACTGACCCTGGCATATCCGACTGATGGACCAACCTGACCTGATTCATCAAACAATAGGACCTTATCAGCAAGTACATATGGCTCTCAACATGAGCCCACTGTTTCGACTGGACTTCGTTCAATGTCAAAAACCCCTTAATTATCCCTACACTAATTACAGGAACACTACCGCTTGATACTTGGTACAGTCATCCTCTGGCACTGCCATTTGTCTAAGTTTTTGTAAGAAAAATGATCAATAATACACTGTTTCTCCATGTTTATTAGCAACTAAAGTGTTTTTCCATGCCCAAAAGAGGACTAAAATTTCCTGCAAAACCTTTCTCTGATGGCTGAAGTCACTTCCTGGAAACAGTAACAACCTGATAAACACAGCACATAGACAGGAAGTGAGGCGGCATACTGCAGTGCTCCGGTCTTTCACCTCTTATTGTTTGTACCGTCGATCGTTTTGTTAGGACCGAACCCAGTTAGTCCACAAATACCACAACTCTCCTGGGCCAGCTATTTTTCCATCTCGTCCTTTCCGCTAACTGCACTCAATCTCTCATCGATACTATTACTAGCTCTAAGAACAGGTCTAATTGCGACAGCTGCTGCGTTCAGATATTTCTTTTGCCTAGTTTAGCCACTTGGTGTTATTCGGCCACTTGAGTATTAGTTTTTCTACTCTACATAATCTCTCCCATTAGAATGCAATGCAGAATAAATCGCACATACATACATGCATTCATTTTTTATCACCTTTCCTCTGCTTTTCCACCCCCTTTTCTCTCCAGGCTTTTTCCACCTCAGTAAGCAACATAAAATGCCACAGCCTGTGTTAAGTGACCGAAATAGGTGAGCGTTAAGTCTTTTACAGCAACGACAGATTTAGAATATCATTGTCTATTTGGACCGTTTGAGGCGGTGACCACCCAAAGCGCACTCGGTCGCTGAGCTCAATTCTCCACAACTGACCTTTACTGAGTTCAGATGATATCTGAGATTGTCTGGCTGTCAGAAGCAGTTCTCGTCAGTCGCAGTTCACCTAACCTGACTTTAAATGCTTTAATGTATATTACGATTTTCAGTATTGGTGGTTGAAATACGTACGGTTGGGTAGTAGTTCATCCACCAGCTTATCCATGATTCAGCCCTTCCAAAAATCTAAGATAAGATCTTGTCCACAGCCTCAGTCTGTTCTGATATTCAACCCAGATAATTTGGTAATATGAGGTAATAGATCAAATTGTTAACCTCTCAATTTGCTCACAAACACGTCAGGGCATTTAAATCAATGTCAAATCAGAATGATTATTAATTATGATTTAGTAAGCAACATATGACTGCTAGTGTACTTATTCAGTGGACTGAGAAAATCACTTGGTATTTGTTGAAGATTAGCAACAGCAAACCAACTGTCTTTAAACAATTTCTTGGAAAACATATCAGTGTATGAAAAAAAAACTCCTGTAGTCTGAGTCTGTGTTTTGCTTTGAATGTATTGGACTGAAAAGAAAGCAAATTAGTATTGCTCAACATTTTTGGGACTCACCTTCCCAGTGGGATGGCCAGGTAGAAGACAGAGAGCATCACAGTCCTTTTGTTGTTCGTGAACAGGTCTCCGATGATAGTCGGAGAGATAGATGAGTAGCTTGATTCTCCAATACCCACCAAGCATCTGGACAGCACTAACAACCAGTAATACTGCAAAAGAAAAGTTTGCATGATCAGAACGTTTTCAGAAAAGGATTTTTTTCAATTATTCATAGCTTGTGAACAGTCAACAAAAACATGGCTCACATTCCTTGACATTTAACTTCTACAGATCATAATTTTCCGAGTCCATTATAAAGCCTGTTTATTTCTGCTATGAAAGTCGCCTAAAGCTCTGTTCAGATTACATGATTTTACCTGATTTCAGCATAATTTACTTGACATAGAGTTTTATGAGGATTTTAAAATAATAAACTGGCATCAGGACACGAGATTCAAATGTTTCTTCTTATGTACTATAGTGTGTCATAGTGCATAACAACCAATGTAATTTCTAGTTTTACAATGTCATTGCAGAAAGTCTAGCATGTTTAATTATTTCCTTCATTTTATATGATGAGTTCTTTTACATGAGTGACAATGACCAGTAGGAGCACACAGGGGCGGACTGGCCATAGGGAGCACCGGGTCTAGTTTCAGACTGCTATATGGGTGATCAGTAAGACCATTATAGTGTTGGTCAAATGTATATTTATAATATCTGTTATTTTAATCACTAACATTATTATTTAAAATACAGATCAGCTTAAACTATTTCTCACTATGGCTGACCCCCATTTTCCCTCCCCTCATACACCTTGTTTTGACGTCTTTCAGGGTTGATCAAGCGTTAATTAGGGGGGTCAATCCTCCAAACTGCACCCTGGTTGTCAATTGATAGCTGAGGCACTTCTGCAACCTTTTGACCGAGTACTGAAATTAGCATGTAAACTAATGCCCCATTAATGCGGGGCGTCAGCATCAATGCTTCCCATTCACTTTGAATGGGTGACGTCAGGCGTTGCCGAACTGCATAGTGGATCCATCAGCGCCACTTTAGTGCCGATGCTCGCTGCAGAAGTTGGAAAATTTTCAACTTTTCAAGTGCCAACGGAAGCGTCAGCCAATCAGATCGCTTCATGCAAATACCCAAGCTCAGAAAGTAGCCGGTTGCGGACTAATTTAATTGGCTGATGCTGCTATGACGATCGCATCAGCCCAAACTTCACACTCTCGGTCAAGTGTTGCCACTGAAGCCCCGTGTGAATGCACAGTAACAAATCAGACAATAACAGACTTTTATCATTTATGCAGCTTCTTGATGACAGAATGCACATCGTATATGTCACATGATGATTGATAGAGAAGCAAAATTAGTTTCCCATGACACAGCAAATTTTATCTACACAAAATTACACAATCTGACACAATGACTGTGATAACTGACATTAAAAATCGTCATTTAAACTGAGCTTTGTAGATGCCAACTGTCAGACTGATCTTTTCGTAAATCTGTTGATATTGAGACCGCTAAGAAGTTTAACATTCATTATCAAAACTGAGCATGTGGCAGACGAGCAGCAAGTGTCCTGCATTTCTGAAAGAGTGGGAACATGTGGCTGTTGTCCTCTGACCTCTATCACAGAGGAAGGAAGCCAGACTAAGAAACCACCCTTCCCTGAAATGGCCTAGACTCGCTGTATATATAGTCGTTCGTGTGAAGACGTTTAGCCGTGGGTGTGTAATGGACATCCATACTGCTGTTGAGTATTTGGGTCACCCTGGCAGTCATCCAACTGAGGAGGCTAGATATATATTCCTCTGTTGCTTCTGCTCACAGTCTATTTCTCTTTACGGTTTGACCTCTTTCTTTTTCCTCTCTTTCATAATATCTCATTTTTATTACTGCCAGCCGCGGGGAGTCTCTTGACACACCCAACAATGATGGACTGAGGAAAATGTAAAGAGCAAAAATATGGACGTTCTCTAGAGACAGCAGGCCATCCATTTATGATATGATGCTCATAGATGGTGCACACACATGTACACACAAACACACACATACACTGATGTGTCAAAGCACGCTTCCATCTCCTGAGAGGGCTTACAAAGGCACCTGACCTGCCAGATGCTGGTATGACAGATTTTTGTGTACTAACAAGCTTCCTGTAATGAGATGAGAGTATGTTTGTTTGCACATAGCGATAGCTATATGCAGTCTATAGTCTAAATATAGTCGTTAATATGCTTACTTAAATAAAATACACAACATGTATACATATATACATACACACCTAAAAGGATAAAACAAAATTGGGCTTGGCATTTGTTTTTAATATTTAATTATTAATTTATTTTTGTTTATTTATTTTTGTTTATTTATTTATTTATTTATTTATTTATTTATTTATTTGTTTGTTTGTTTATTTAAATAGTGTAAATATAAGGATCTGCAAAGAAGTAAAACAGAATTGGGGTTTGCATTTGTTTTTTATATTTATTTGTTCATTCATTCATCTATCTGTCTGTCTGTCTGTCTGTTTTAAACTGTAAATATAAGGATCTGCATTAGGTAAAACAAAATAGGGTTTCGCATTTGTTTTTAATATTATTTATGCATACATCCATGATCCATCCATTCATCCATCCATCCATTTATTTATTTATTTATTTATTTAAATAGTGTGAATATAAGGATCTTCATAAAGTAAAACAAAATTGGGGTTTTGAATTTGTTTTTAATATTATCCATCCATCCATCCATCCATCCATCCATCGATCTATGTATGTATGTATGTATGTATGTATGTATGTATGTATGTATGTATGTATGTATGTATGTATGTATGTATGTATGTATGTATGTATGTATGTATGTATTTAAATAGTGTAAATATAAGGATCTGCATAGAAGTAAAACAAAATTGGGTTTTGCATTTATTTTTAATATTATTAATTAATTAATTCATTCATTCATTCATTTATTCATTCATTCATTCATTCATTCATTCATTCATTCATTCATTCATTCATTCATTCATCCATCAATTTATTATTTTTTTAAACAGTGTAAATATAAGTTTATGCATAGATGTAATACAAAATTGGTGTTGGCATTTGTTTTTAATTTATTTTAACTTAATTAATGAATGAATTAATATATATTTTAAAAAGTGTAAATACAATCTGCATTGAAGTAAAACAAAATTGGGGTTTGCACTTGTTTAATATTTATTTACTTATTTTTTATTTATTTTTTTAATTAGTGTAAATATAGTCATTAATGTGCTTACATAAAATACACTATAAATATATTCATTTATTTATTTATTTGTTTATTCATTTATTGTGATTTAGGCTTAAGTTATGATTCTTTGATCAAAAGAAATTTACTTTAAATATATATATTTTTTTAATGTCAGTCTTTACTATTAGTTAATGTACTATTACTTGATTTTACTATTAGTAGCTCAATGGAGTTGAATAATTTAATGAGTGCTAATTAGAATAATTGATTTACCAAAAAATGAAATGTGATTATGTAGATTTAAAGCATTTATGCAACAACAATTTGTTTTCTCCCTAAGCAAATGTATACATGTTTTGCTTATATTATTTTAATTTATGATTTCCTTTTGCATGAAAATGGCAGATCAATGAATGACTAAACTACAAGTCTTCTGGACATCCGATGGTCAATTTCGATTTCTTTACTCTCTTACTCCCTGCTTATCATCTTTAATTCTTTTCCACCTGACGGTCTTTGGTGTGACAGCAGCCCCACGACATACATACAGCCGAACGAAAAACAACTTTACTTGTTGTTGGATGTTACATAATTCTCAGCAGGGGAATTTCTTTAGTATACGTGACAGGAATCAGCAGCGAGCGACTGCAGCAGGCTGGGTTCTCCTCTGGCACTGAGAGGATTTCTCCATCCATCCCTCCCTCTCTCTTTCAGCTGCTTTCCTGCTTTTCGTGACTCTGCTTAAAAATGACAAAAGCTGTGTGCTGCTTGTTTATTGACAGAAGGGCTGTGAGCGAGTAAGAGAGTGTGGACCAGGGTCGGTTTGTTTATTACACAACCTTCCCTTCTTTCACCTCAACATTAGCTCACACATGAAAAATTCATGTACATGCACACTTCTGGAGAGCGGTTAGTTGAGGTGAAAAAAACACACACATTTACTGTGTGTGACATTCATTGTGAGATGATATATGATCTTGAAGCTTTACGATTTGACTGTTCAGTAGGATATATTGTGTTTATATTATTTATTTGTTTGTTTATTTATTTATTTGTTTGTTTGTTAAAACATAGCCATTAATTGCATTATCATTCATTCATTCATATTCTTTTCGGCTTAGTCCCTTCATTAATCTGGGGTCGCCACAGTGGAATGAACTGCCAACTTATCCAGCACATGTTTTATGCAGCAGATGCCCTTCCAGCTGCAACCCATCACTGGGAAACACCCGTACGCTTCCATTAACACACATACACTACAGACAATTTAGCCTATCCAATTCACCAATAGTGTATGTCTTTGGACTCGAGGGGAAACAGGAGCATTCGGAGGAAACCCACGTGAGCACAGGGAAACATGCAAACTCCACACAGAAATGCCGAATGACCCAGCAGAGGATCGAACCAGCGATATTCTTGCTGTGAGGCAAACGTGCTACCCACTGTGCCACCACGCCACCTATTTAATTGCGTTATATAGTTTTTTTTATTGTAGTGTTATATTATAATAATGTTTTTAAATGAACTAATATGCATTTATGTTGTCACTGTGCAGTACTAAACCAAAATAAATAATTTACATGTACTTTAACTCATTAAAGCAGCCTAATTTGCATAGAAACAGTTATTTATCTCTTTAAATTGTTTTATTATAATATTTACAGTGTAAATGTGAATCTTCAAACTGGATATAAATGTAATTAGGGGTGTTTAGGACTTCAATAACACCATTTCATTTTTTTTTACACTCACAATTCAGTATTTATTTTGAAAATTCTGAAAGCCCAAGGTTGAACAACAAAGTCAAAGCATTCGTCTCGTTGTCTCTGCTCCAATCCTCAACCAATTCATGGCTCTGCACTACTGCAGGACTGTCTGTGCACATCTGATTTCCCTCATCCCTCAACCATTTACATAAACATGAGATTTCAAATACATGCACGAATATGTGCATATCTAACTGAATAAACCACCACCACCGAGTTGACACCCCCTGACGTTTTGTTTTCTTGTCATCTGACAGAAGCAAAGCAATAAAGTTAAATATGGCCGAGGGAATTTGCATGGGAAACAGACATCTTGAAGTCTAGCTTTCAATTTTCACTTTGGATTCGGATCATGATTTTTATTAGCAAAAAAAGTCTTTTTCAATGTTGTTGCAACAACTCAGTGCAGCGAATTGACTATCTCTGCCCAAAGCCTTTAGAAATCTCATTAAAGGAAGCTGTGCGTTGAGTATTTTAAAGAGGGATTTTGCATGACGAATAGATCCGCTGGTCAGTTTAAGCCATACAAAGATATTCCATCTTAAAGCAAAGCGAATCTATGATGGACAACCTACTATTTTCATCAAAAACCACACTCAGATTTCTAATTCCATAAGACGATTTCTTCATCTCATAGTTTTTTTTTTTTTATTTGTATCATGCCTGTGTGTTCTTATGAAACCCAATACGCTCCTTATGATGGTGATGAATATTGTAAGCCAGCCCTTGCGGCAACATTGCAGTAACGTTGTAACGTTAACGTGATGGTGATGATGAGCTTGTGTGTAAATACGAGATGATCTGGTAGAGAGTGTTATATAACAATGCGCTGCTGTGGGTCGTGTGATTGACAGATAAAGGGAAATCTGCAGTCTCCAGGCTCATGTATGCATATGTGCATGTGTGTGCGGATCATGTGACTTTGATGCAGGCTGGCTTGTCCTGTCAGTATCGACTCAGCATTGCAGATTGGAGGGATTAATGCGTTTATACCCCCCCTGGAGTTCATTCGTCATATCCCGACCACACACACACACACACTTACATGCTTCTTTTACATAAAGACTGCGGAAAAAGGCTAATGAGAACAAAACTGCACGTAAACACATGCACCATGTCAGAAGATTTCAGTCAGATCAGTTAGTGTAGCCACAAGGAACATTCCTCCACTGTCATTTTGCAGTCTTCCTCTCATTAACATTGGCTTTTAATTAGCTGCCACTGCCTATCTCTGTTGCAATAACTTCCATGGAGACTGGGCCACACACACAATGAGACTTAGACTTTCTGTGAGGTATTTTAGACAATAGTTGTCAATTATGATTTCATGATTTTGTCTGCCGTCCTTGGGTTGACTTGCCTGTTGTCTCAATTTCTGTGTATAAATTTCTGTTTACCACAAGCACATACATTTATGCACTCTACTGTAGGAAACGTATAGTTGCTGTGGTAACTACTACAGCCAGTTTTTGGGGACCGAAACAAAAAAATCCGGATGCACTTGTTAATCTAATGTAAATACATCTAATTATATTATATTATATTATATTATATTATATTATATTATATTATATTATATTATATTATATTATATTATATTATATTATATTATATTATTTTTATTATTATTATATATTATATTATATTTTATTATATTATATATTTATATATTATATTACATTACATAACATATTATATTGCTGTATATTATAATACATTATATTATATTTTAATATATTACTGTATATTATATTACATTATTATTTTAATAAATAAAGTAACATAGTATAATAAAGTATTTTTAAAAGACTTTTTTAATGTAAAGTAAAAATTTATTGTTTTAAAATAAGTAACTTTAAAATACATATATAAATATATGTAATAAAAAACGAACACAAGCCAATAAAATAACCACATTTTATTGACAGTTAAATTTTGCTAGAAAAATTGTAATGGTTAGTTGCAGTTGTCGTGTTGTTATTCAATTCCAGAAACTTGTATGATTAAGTTGACATCAGTTATGTTTGGTGGTGTTTTTACAGTAAGAAAAAAATGAGTGTGCACGTCGGATTACCTCAGACCTTTTTATAAGCATTAAAATTTTCCATGTAATTGTTTTCTATTATGTAGGTCTATTGTTGGAGACATTAAGATCGTTCAGAGCTGAGACATCTGACATTGCGTACTAAATACAATTTATTTTATATATAGCAGCGAGGTCTTTGTTTTGTAGCATGCTTTAAAAAAATGCATTTATGTGATTTTCCCCCTCTGTATATCAGATGTTTTTTTTTTGTTTGTTTGTTTTTTTAGAAATTTTTACACCTTTTTTTTCTCTGTCGATCATTTTGGTGAATATTCGATGTATGTTTAGTTTTAGTGGCTGTCTTTACAGCTGTGATCTCCTAATGACACAGTGTGTGAATAAAGGAAAGATTAAACAGAGTAAAAGATATAGAAGAGAGAAGACAAACATCGGTCTCGTTTATAGCAAGAGGTCTTCAGAGACAATCCTAGTGTTATGCTAAGTGAGCATGTCATTTAATCATTTCATCTTAGCAAACGGGAAAAGGAAAAAGCAAAGGGTGAGAGAGAGTGCAAGAGTGAGAGACATCTAAATGATGAAGTAGACTGACTTTTCTTTATGCTGTTATGTTGAATGACTAGAGTGTCGTTTCAAAGCGCTCTCAAATGAGCCAGAAACTGAATGAGCTCTAGAGATGCTTCTAAAAATACCCAAACGAGCACTGCAGGAACCAATGCAAACCTTTCTGGGTACAAACAAGCTACATTTATATTTTAAAAGCTTCTCCTAAAAAGATTGTCAGGATGACATGATGTCTTTAAGCGGTTGAGAGGACACATTGAAAAGTTTAGGATGATGCTTGTAGAGGAGGGAATATGTGATGCTTACTTCTTTGGTAATGAAAGAGCTTAGCAGCGTCACAGCGGACCAGAAAAAGATTCCACAGCTCAGGATGATCTTTCTGTTGAAGCGATCCCCCAGGTAACCAAAAATGGGGGCGGCCACCATGAAACTGCAGATGAAGACTGGAAAAAAGAAAACAGAAGCGGACATGTTTAACTTTCTTTCTTTATTTGTTTCCTGATACATTGAAGTCATTGTAAAAATAACAATTTCAGTTCTTTTTTGGAAAAACTAAAATCCCACTTGTGCAGATGGAAACTAAAAAAGTTGATACAAATTCTGTCGATGTCTGCTTGTGAATCCTTATTCTTCTAAATGACGAGGAAGCTTTACAATTCCCTGTTTTGGTTTCCCTAATTTACTTTCTACCCATGATTCCCTTATGTGTTAAGACTGATAACTTAAATAAACATAAACATGCAAAAATATTCTTCATTTAAGATTGCTTTTGCCAAGCAGTGTGCCGTGACTGTAGATTTGCAGTTATAAAAAAAAGATGCTTCTTTTTTAAGTTTCTAAATATATTTTGATCAATTTCTCATTTTTTTCATTAATAATAATGACATAAGAAATCAAATAAAAAAATATAATATAATTTTATTATATAAGGATTTCTACATTTTGATATAAAAATATATAATATTAATTAATTTCTGTATTTTTATTTAGTTTCTGTAAAATTTATATTTTGTATGTTTTACTTTTACCATTTCAATAAATTGGTCTTATATTTTATAACTTGTTTGAGTTTTATTTTCGTCATTTTATTTGACTGTTTATATATTTCTGTAAACTATTATTCATATTGTATAAGATTTTTCATTTAATATCCATTCCTTTTTGTCATGAAGCCAGAATTATGTAATCTTTTAATGCAGTAATTAAACAAAATTTGTCAATAGTTTATTTACAATTTATTAAATATATCCCACCCCAAATTAAATATTATTATTAAACTTTTTATTATTTACCCATTCATCCTTGTTAACCCCTTCAGACCCTGTGTCCATTACAACAAACATCACATGTCAGCTCATGTTTGTTGTGGTTCCTGAGCATTTCATCCAATTTTAAGCCTGCAATCCATAAGTGTGGACGATTGTCATCCAATCAAATGGCAGTAAGGCACAGCATGTTGCAATTTGAAATAAATCCACTCCACTGAAAAGCAGCATGGCATCACTTCACTCTAGACACATTTATAATGTTTTTATTCACATTTATTGATATGTTTGCCAAAATTTTATAGACTGTATGTAAAAAAGAGGGATTGTGCTTACTAATTAAAGTTTAAAATCTTTTGTAACACTGTAAGCTTTAGATCAGGATTTTTTTTCAACTATGTCTGTTCATTACAATGGGTTTAAAATCTGTTACTGAAATTAAATCTCCAGTAATAATAATAATAATAATAATAATAATATATATATATATATATATATATATATATATACATCATATTGATGTACTAATTCATTGCTGAAACTTTTTTAAGGTGCAATCCATAAAACAAAAAACTCAAAATTAAAGTAAAAATGTTAAAATGTTACTGTTTGTGATTTTGAAAATCAATGTTATATTATGTTGGTATAATGTTCAGGAAGTACTACTGACTGGATGTTCATTGAATGGACAAAACATGTATATACTTAAAGGGTGTTGAATTTTTATTATTATAATTTGGCCTCAATTATAGGAGCCTCAAGAACTGCAGCTTTGATCAGTATCTACATTGATTGTACAAAGCGGTAATAAAGACGACTTGACATGACGTAGTTTTCTTTTTCTGTATAAGTGCCTCTACCATGTCATTGTGTACAATCTCTTAATTGCTCAGCTGATTGCGTGACATTGTGTGGGCATCTGAAATACTTTCAGAATATGTTACAGTATGCGTGGATGGCACAGGGTACTAATGTTCATCTGGAAACTTCAGAGCTGTCGGTTTTGAGGATCTAAATAAAGAAAAGCAGTAGTGTTAGCACTTGTGCTTTAACAGAATTGCAGTCTGTGGGTTGTAAAGCCCATTAGATACTGAATATACAATGCCATGATATTTAAAATCGCATCTAATTCCCTTTTGAGATATATTGAGTTTGCAAGACCTCAGTCACACATCAAGTCTGTGGCTATAAAGTCAGGGCTGGAGCTATAGCTGTCACCCACCCATGATCAACGGCCATGTTTGGATATATAATAACTCCAATTTTTTTGCGGAAGGCATGAATTTGCCGAAGCCACCGGAAACATTGGCCTGTATTATACTTGGCTGCTTGTTCAAGCCAAAGCTCGACCTGCTTTGAACATATCCACTCTAGAAACAGGCACAGAGCCCACGCCAAGCCTGCTGGGAAATCAACGCTCTCTCAGCACACTCGAATCGGTACAAATTACAGCAGCACTACGCTAAATGATCTGCTATTTCATCCACGAGTTCTTTCGCTTAGTGGTCGTGATTAGGCTTCCTTTGAAAACCATTCCAGAAACACGAATGAGTGGAGCGAATACAAAACAAATGGGAGTAAACTGCGTTTGGGTGGTTTAAAGGTTTATACTGGTTTATATTAGCATATAGTGGATCAGGTTTGATTCAGTCAAGAGGATGATTTGATCAAGTGGATGGTGAAACTGGTGGTTTCAAAACTGAAGACTCTGAATCTGAAAAATGACGAATAAAAAAACATTTATGATGAAACTGTTGACATGTCATTTCTTTGTAAGCTGCTCTTGTTGTTTTCACACATTGCGTATGGTAATTTGAAAACTTCTTTCAGCTGAAAGCCTTGTGCAGAAGTTTTTGTTTTTGAAAGAGTTATTGTTTGCTCATTTAGTGTACTTTTTAAAATCAAAATACCGTAAAACATTTGTTTTGTGAAAAATTATTCAATTCAAAATAGCTGTGATGATGTTGAAGCTGGATCTTCATTATTTTTTATTATTATAGTAAATGCTGAAAATTTGTGATGCTTAATAACTTTTATCATTAATTTTCACATTCTCTGACGAATAAAAAGTTCTAAAGAACAGCCTTTATTGTCATTTTTTTTAATAATGTTTAAATTATTTGTCTTTTTTATTGGTCAATTGTATTATTCTGTAAAATAAACTTAAATATTGCCTTTTTATAAATATATAAGTGCACTGTAAAAATTCTGTAAAGTTAGTGCGCTTGTAAAAGTACAGTCTTACTGGCGACCAAAATTGCCAGTAAGTTACTGTAAATTGTACAGTAAATTGTTGTTGTTAATTGTAATTATTAATTATTTTATAAAAATATTCAAATGGACTCAGTTAAAATAATAAATTAAATAATTAAATCCCTGTATTGTTTGATAAACAGTGTTTTTTCATATTACATATTAACAAAATGCTTTAATGGAATATGGTTTGTAAATTTCATCATTAATTGATCGTTCCGGGTCTTAGATAATATTTAAAAGTTTAGTCCTAATAACAACTGTAATCATAGTTTTATGCTTAAATAGTGTACAGTAGTTCTTATTTTTATTACAAAAGAAAGAATAAAACCCCAGTTGAAAAGGCATATAATGTGCGCTTGACCAAGACGGTGGATGAAATTCTGAATGAACTGAAGTCCCACAGGCTATGATCCATCTAAGCACAGCTCAACTAAAGCAATCAACACCTCTCCTGCTTTCTGCGATGTTGATCTCCTCCCATTACCCTGAGCTGTGTCCTCTGCTAATTCCTCTGTTAATAACCTCCCTCCCTGTCTGTGTTCATCACATCATATAACCCTGTACATCAGTTACACCTGTGGATGCGCGTATGTGTGTGTGTGAGGCTGTGACAGACAGAAACACGCAGTATCCAGATAGAGACAGAACATATGGATAAGCACCAAACACACAACATGTGTGCAGTGAACAGCTCCTGAAATATTCATGGCCTCTTCCTTCCCTGACGAACACTTTGCTCTGAATTAGCATGTTAGACAGATCTAAATGTTCATTCTCAGCAGGGTGTGTTTCGCGTTAAGGATGAATTCTTGACAGAGGGACAAAGACTAGACATTTTACATTTAGTCATTTAGCAGATGCCAAGTAATTTACAAATGAGAAACAAAGCTAAAAGGGCAATTACACACTTTAAGCTGCTTTTCTTTGCATGTTTCATTAAAATCAAAAGGGTCGTATTATGGTGACAATAGTCCAAAAAAATGTATAGTGCGTATACTTGACGTGTACTTAAGAAAGTACTGGTATTATAAGGTGTCTACATGGGTTAAGCTTAGGTTTATCTAAAAATTGTTTATGTAATGATTATAATCGCTTATAGTGTGTACATAAGAAAAATAACAAAAATAAAGTGCTTCATGCTGAAATATAACTATATTTATAGCTTTTAAAGAGCTTGCATTCATGATACTGATTGGTCAACCCTCCAATTAACAACCAGTCACTGGTTGTTTCTTTAGGTATACCTGTTTGACTACCTGCTCAGCAAATACTATGGCAGCATTTCCATACTATTTAGTATTCATTCATTCATTCATTCACTTTTCTCCATTTCAGAAGTCGCCAAAGTGGAATGAACTGCCAATTATTTCAGCATATGTTTTACGCAGCGGATGCCCTTCAGCTGGGAAAGAGCCATAAACTCTAACTTTCACACACACACACACATACACACACTCATACATTAAGGCCAATTTTAGTTCATCCAATTCACCTATACTGCGTGTCTTTGGACTGTGGGGGAAACCAGAGCACCCAGAGGAAAGGAGAACAAATTCCACAAGGAGATGCCCCACTGACCCAACCGGGACTCAAACTAGAGACCTTCTTGCTTTGAGGCAACAGTGCTAAACACTGAGCCAGAGTGCAGTATTTTAGTATTACTATTTACTGTTTTAATATAGAAAACCAAACCTGATTTTTCTACATTGGCCATCTGGTCACACAGACAAGACTGTCAAGGAAAATAGAGATCAGATAATGTGGACTGTGGACCCTGAGACTTTGTAAATGATGACACATTATCAGTCATATTATGCAGTCGGTTGTCTGTACTTAGGGGTGATAGCTGTAAAGTGTGTTTATTTCTGAGATCATCTTTAATGTTTGGACAAAGATGTGTCATCAGCAGAACAGGGTTTTTC